CCAGGACTGGGACTTTTCATCCAAGAGATACAGGGAGCCTCAGTACAGAGGCATGTAACTCCTCAATTGATGTGGGATAATGCAGTGTTGGGAAATCAGTTGCTTTACATTACAGGTTGCAAAGTAACCTCTACAGGCAAAGTAACAATGTGGAAAATGTGACGTATGAATCAGCATTATTGCGATTTAAATCACATAGTAACTGTTTTCATTCGCTTAACAGATTTGCCGGATCACTGTACCCAATTTTATTTTGCTATCTCCATTATCACTGGGTACATACTGCACTTTTTCTCGTCCTTCCGATTTCTCCTCTCCTCCGCTCCCGAAGGCTAATCTTTGCTGACTTAGGGTTTTGCGACTAACCATCACATTACAGGACTTTATCCGTGTGGCTATTCTTCATACAGGAAGACCCCAGAAAAACTATCTACAATATAAATGGCGTTTCTCTATTAAAACCCTCTGACCTCCTCAGATAAGATTGATCATTCACTTCCTTCATGGCTTTTTGTGAGACGTGGCTGTGCGCAAACTGGATGCCATGTTTGACTACAAATACACACTCACTACACTTAACAGTAACATCCTGTGAACCACTTTGATAAAATCTCAATGATGTGTTAAAACGCTTTAAGTGATTTTTACTGTTGACCGTTTAGATCACAGGGGTTTTTGCTGATGATCACGCAGCATTGATGCATGTGGAGGGCTCTTGTCGACATAGGGTCATAAAGGGAAACATAGTTACATCTAAAAGCAAACAATTCAAAAATGATAGCCATATTTCTATGGTTTGAAATGACATCCACAATATGTTGCAAATTGGTTGAGTGAGGGAACCCTTGACGTAAGCACAGCAAGTAACTACTGTAAATATTCAAGTGTGTTACTGTTTCTTTGGCAAGTCTTGCAAGAGCCTGTACTCTTGGCTGGTGTTGAACAGGGTTTATATCTTTGCTGTGGATGAGCGTAGGTGATTAAATTCGGTGGCATCGTCCTGTTTTGCAACAGGCTGAAACTAATGGAAGAGACAAGTGAATTACACAATGAAGTGGCTGCTGATTTCCCTGCAGGCTTTGGAATCTCTTTGAATGTCCTGCCTGTGGCCTTCTGTGAAAGTTTCAAGTTACCGAAGCTTACATTGAAATGCTTGCATAAATCAGTGATGAATCCAGTCCGTCTGAAGTGCTTGGCATTGTACCTATGTTGAAGGAGATCAGCAAGGTGCAAGGGCAACCTCCGACCTCTCGGCCTGTAACATAAGAAAGGACGTCCTTCAAGTCCAGCTTGGGACCTCACGGGGTTGGTGAGAGAAGGATGGGGGGAAGGGTGTGTTTGGGTAATGGGATACAGACAACTGAGATACTGAAACATGAAAGAAAATTGAAGCAACGCCATCATAAATTACATTGAAGCTGACCTAAATTAAATACTTAGTAAACTGAAATCAGGGCTCTTAGGGGATTATGTTGCAGTAATATGTCTTCCCTGAAAACTCATAGTCATTCTGTTGCTTTATGCTGCATTTTACACGATATATCCAGGACACATTTCAAAGGATTTTACAAGGTTTCTTTACTTCCTTAGAATCCTAATGGATGAATGGCACACAATTATTATTAGGGAAAGGCCATTTTTAAATTGGTGGCTGATGAGGGCATTTAGGAGCTTGCAACATGCAAAAAGCCATCTGCTTAAAACTGTCCCTTCTCCCCCACTGCACACACACACACACACACGTTTTCCTTAAAACTTTGAAACCCTCACAACTTTCTCTAAAACCCTTCAGACCACCCTCCTCCCTTTTCTGCCCTCCAACATCAAAATTGTAACCTCCAGCCGCCAAGTTAATAGTGATCGGCTGGTTCCTTATGTCTCAAATAGGACAATACAAAAAAATCCCAAATCCTATGCAATTTATTTGTGAGAGAACAGTGCTTTAAAATCCCGTATTTGCATTTCTTTTGTTAAAACCGTGCTACGACCCCGCGTTCCCAGCTGTTTATCTGAAAGGGGATTATTTATGGCTTGGAATAGTTTTCAGTCTCGTTACAGTCAGTAAAATTAATTTCCGGAGACTTCAGAAATGATTGGTTTTAGGAGGGGAAAATACATTAGTCCGGTCTACTAGTGGAGTATAATTTATGAACTGAATGTTTTAGAGGTTTATCAAGAGAAGTTACTATTGAACTTTGGAACGAGCATGTGTATGTGGCGGCTTAATGTCTTAATGCTTATTTAAGTGTTGTGAAGCACTGGCAGATGCCAGAATAAATGGGAGTCTGTCAATAGCCAAATTATTCCTTTTCACAGGGTGATTTTCAGTCTGTCAGGTGGCATTTGTACGCATGTCACGCAGATTGCCTAACAAAAGAGGGAACTGAGACAAATAGAAACTCTGGCACACAAAAAACTTTGTAGTAACAGCGCATTTCTAGTGCCTGGATATAGTGACCACTTGGGGAGTTTCACTTAAAATGTGCTGTTAATTGCAGCATTTCAAATTCATGTCTGGCACATTGGCAAAGTTTACTCACTCACAAGTGAAGTATCACTGTCATAGTATGGAATCTGAGCTGTGGGGGTCATGTTACATGTGCAAATGCTGGGATAGTTCTGGTTACAGAGAATTTTTTCAGCCTCCTCTTCTCAATCCACACTCAATTACAGATATCGGCCATTACAATAGGTACTGGACGTCTGGTCTGAAATGGATGTTTGTTTACAGCTCTATAAGTGTTCTGCGCAAGTTTTCAAAATGCTGGGAATGTTGTATTTCTGCAACCCATTGTATAAGGTGTCAGGCTGGGCTCAGTTGGTAGCACTCTCACCTCTGACTGAGGGGTTGTGGGCTCAATCCCTACGACAAGAATTGCATCCTGCAGTTATGTAGCACCCTTCACCCGGGCAGCGTCACAGAGCTCTGAAAAGTGGCGGAACTGGGGGAAAGGGATGAGTTGGCCGTAAACACAGTCGAAAGGGAAGGTCCTCAGTCTTGATCTAAAAGAAGAATACTTTGAACTTATAGTCTAGGTTAACACTTCAGTGCAGTGCTGTGGGTGTGCTGCATTGTAGAAGATGCCTTCCTTCGACGAGACGTTAACCAAGGTCCCGTCCTCTTGTTCAGGTGGACATTAAAGAATCCCATGGCACTATTCAAAAAGAGAAGGGAATTTCTACTGGTGTCCTGACCATTAATCCCCCCAAATAAAATTGAACATGGCTGTTTTGCCAGACATTCCTGTGGACAAATTTGCTGCTGCATTTGCTTACAAAATAGTCACTACACTTCACAGTACAATCCTTTGATATGCTTGGAGATGAGAGCTCAAGCAGGATGGGAAATGGTGGAGGGGGGAAGAGGGTTGATTACCGAATATAGTTTTGAACTCTTGGTGTTTTCCCTGTTATCCATGTGCTACAGAGCAATATAATACAAAATACAATACAAAATTATGTTGGTATAGTGCCTTTCACGTCGGGAGGACGTCCTAAGGTGCTCAACAGTCAGGGATTTGGACCAGAGCCGTGGGGGATTTGGGATCAGGGAAGGTGGAGGGCAGGGAGGGTGGCCAAAGGCACGGTCGAAGAGAAGGGGCTTGAGACGTGCCGTGAAGGAGGCAAGGGAGGGAGCAAGGTGAAGGGAATGTGGGGTGGAGTTCCAAAGAGTGGGGGCAGCGAGGCTGAAGGAGAATGTGGAGTGGGCCGGAGCATGCTAAGCGGAGGGAGCAGTTGAAGGTTTTGGCGGCCTGAGGGGTGAGGCAGTGGCAGAGCCTGCCGTTGTTGCAGAAGTGGGGGAACCCAGAGCAGGTCACGGTACAGATGTGGATTAGAAAGGACAGTTGAGGATCAAATAAGATGCCAAGGTTCTGGATGGGCTCATTGAGCAGCATTGTTCACCTTCCCGCTTCTGAGTTTGACTTGTGTGTGTCCTTCCGCTTTGAAGTGGAATTGCGAACCTGAAGGGAATCTAATTTTACGCAATAAATCAAAGTTAGATTTTTTTTCATCATACGCATCTCACATTAGTTTTTGTCATTTCAGCAATGGGGTGACATTTCTGGCATTTGGGGTGCTGATTTTCACACTGAATGCATTACAAAATACTTTTCTCAGCCATGCTTTTGGTCACCTTTTGCCCTCCCAACCTCCTCAGCTTCCCCCCTTCTTCCCCTCAGTTCAGGGTCCCAGTCAGCTTTGTGAAGCATTTTGAGACGTCACGTTTAAGTTCTAACTTAATGTAAATTGTTGTTGTTGTAACATCTTAAATGTCACCCCCAAATTATTTCTGGTTAGAATTGAGCCTAGCTGGCTAGCAGCACGGGAGATAGCTCTAGTACACAAAACCTTGCCCAAAGTGTGCCAGGACTAAGCCTGGACATCTTGCTGAGGTTATGATGAAAATTCCTGATTTAAATTGCTGTTCTAGCTCTTCCCAAGCACAGAGCTGGCAGCATCAGCGTGGCAATGCTAGAAGAGAATTTAGCTTAAAAAATTCAGAGATAATTTTAGGCGCTCTGAGACCTTACCCCACATGAAATGCGCTATATGACTGCGACTTGTTGTTGTTGTTCTTGTTGTTGTATCTGTGGTGTACGAAGTAGCGAAACCGACAAATCGCAACATGTGATAAAAACGACACGCGGTGACCGTGAACATATTTTACTGGTTAAATTCACTTTTAACGAAACCCAAGAGGAATGCACAGCACTGCTTTGTTGTTGTTGTTGTTGTTGTTGTTGTACGTTTTAAAAAAAAGTTTATTTGGGGGAGGGATTGGGCCACTGCAGTCCTCAAAGGATTACAGCTGTGTAAAATATAATTGCTTTGTGCGTCTGGGTGTGTGGGGGGTGGGTCACTGGCAGCTAGAGCTGTTGTGCTCCTTCTTTGCATAAACACTTTGGAGGCTGGTCTCAGCATCCTCCAGGATCACCCACTCACTCACTCACTCACTCAATCGCTCGCTCACTGGAATGCTTGTGTTCCATTGAAGTGGGTGGAAGCCAGGAGCAAGCACATGTGCACTGAGCCAAAAAAAGAGAGAAACACACACAACAGGAGCCGCAGTCTGCTGTGCTCAGTGGAGGGAGGCTTGTTTTTGTGGACCTTAATAGAGAAAGCTGCGCTGTGTGAGCTGCTGCTCAAGATTCACTGGGAGGCAGTGAGGAAGGAAATGGTGGGAGGCATTCGGTAGTGGATGAGGCTCAGACTGAAGCTGCCTTGACAGGGCTTCACTTGCAGCATTGGAATCCGCTCAGTGTGACAACTGTGGCTTTGGGGGTCGGAAGCTGTACATTTGCACCGAGGTAATGTAATGCCTGCTCTCTCTTTCTGCTAGCTCCCTTTCCTCTCCCTCTCCCACTCTCTGGTGTCAGGCGTGTGCGTGGAGCCAGTGAGACGGGGTGGGCACAAGCCTTGCTCTTTGCTCTGCAGATGCCCATCTGCAGGTATGTGTGTGACAGTCAAGAGGGTGAACTGGAGGTTGGTGAGGAGGGCAAAGAGGCTTGTGATTCGCAGTCTCATTTTAGTGGGGATTGAGGAAGGGTAACTAACTGAGAGCAGGAAAGTGTGTGAGACTGACCAGCAGCTTGGCTTAGCTTCTTATTCAATGTAGTCAGGATGCCCCTGCATTATAATTGTGGTAGATCTGATACAACGACTTCTCCAGCAACAGTTGTAGATGTTTATACACAGGCTAAAGAGATGCAGTTGCACATTTTCTGTTTTGCTTTTCTGTCGGAGTGAAATAGCTGTTTTGGCTTTTGAGACCAAAGTTTCAGCACTTTCAGAGTGAATGTTTGGGGACCTCATCCCGACGTGAAAGGCTCTATAGATACATGCAGTAAAATGCAATTTGTTGTTGTTTCGTGCGAACTCATTTATTATTAGGATTTGAATTAAAGTGCAGAGTAATAATAATAATAATCCTTGCATTTGATATAGCACCTTATCACGTCTTCGAGACGTCTCAAAGCGCTTGACTGAATATACTGTAAAGTGAATTGACGATATATTTTGCGGACGAAACGTAAGTGGAAAAAGACCTAATCTTATCTGTTAAAAGCAGATTGCTGTGTTTTTAAAAAAAACTTGCCTGAATTGATTTTGCCGCTATGACAAATGCTATAACTCGCTTTAATTGCAGAAAAAATGTGTGGCTTGTTGGATACTGTAAGTGTATTTAACTGTTCACCTGAATGAATGAGATGTTTATTCTGTTGAAGTGGAACAATTACCAAAACAAGCATTTTAAGGGGAAATACAATAATATGTATTGAAAGGAGAATGCAGACATTGATAAAATATTGTGAAAGAAAATCTTCCACTATTGTTTATACAGTAGGACAACTGAGAGCAATGTTATGCTTTGTGTACAGTATTATTTTTCAGTTAAACCCACCCCTTCGTATCACATGATGAACAAAGACAATGTAAGGTACAGTGATAGAAAGAAAGAACTTGCACTTATAGACATGTTGAAATGTCTCGAGGCACTTCACAGTAAGTGTTGTCAAGTGTGGTGACTGTTTTGTAGGCATACATGGCAGCAGTTTCCACCAGTAAGGTTCCATAAACAGCAATGAGGTTAATGACCAATTAATTAATCTGGGGGATTATTGGGCAGGACCCTTCTCTTTTTGAATAGTGTAAAGGGATCTTTAACATCCACTTGAACAGTCAGATGGAACCCCAGTTTAATGGCTCATTGGAAAGACAGTACTTCTGACAGCGTAGCATAGGAATAAACCTGGAGTACATTAAATCATAACGCATAGTGCAGAATAGTGGAAAAAATATTCCGGAACTTTCTGACTGCAATGGACTGATGATCTGAAACATTGACGTGAGATACAAACTAGAACAACCAAATTGTCAGCGGTGATGAAAAATGTAACTCAAACTGCAAATGTGGATTTCCAGGATCATGAGTGAAAGAAAAAAGGAACTCTGTGTATAACATCTACAATAAAAGGTAGGAGTGTGTCAGGGCTGCAGCTCACTCATCTTTTGTCTCACAAACGATGCACAAGCTTTGTGTCTGCACTTTATGGCATCATCAGAAGACCTCAAATGGAGTTGTAGCCTTATTAAACACATCCACTCAGCTTTCACTCTGTTTTATCACCATCATTGGGAACTATCATATTTAGGGATTGAGCAGTAGCAGTATTTAGACAATGCAATACAATACAAATTAACATTTATAATAATAATAATCATAATCCTTGCATTTGATATAGCGCCTTATCACATCTTCAAAATGTCCCAAAGCGCTTCACAGAATATACTGTAAACTGAATGAACTTTATATTTTGTGGGCGAAATGCGGCAGCCAATTGCGCACAACAGTGTCCCACAAACAGTCGTGGATTGAATGATCAATTTATTATTTTTTTTGAAGGAATTATTACCCCCATAAAAGTAATCCTCCAATCGACTAACAAACCAAGTTCCTACTTACTGCAGGTAAACAGAGGCGTGTGGTGTATGGAAACTTTCCCAACTTTTCGCCCTGCCAGGAATTGAACCCTGATCTCTTGCTTGTGAGGCGAGCGCTCTAACCACTGGGCTGCAGGACTCCACGCCTATATAGAGCCTTTCACGTGGAGAAGATATCTCAAGGCACTGAAACCATTACAATACAGTAGCACACGCATCTAAGACATTCAGGTGACAGTTACTATTGCAATCACCAGCCCTTGAAGTCTAGGTAGGTTATCTGTGCTAAATCTCCACTCAGCTAATTTATCACAATTTTCTATACTGTGTACTTTCTAGATCAATATAAATGTGTTTGGTATTTGTGAAAGTTTGAAAATGTTTCCTGATTTAATGGTCTCAGACTCCCAAGTTAATAAATTGCTATTTGTGCCTTCTGCGCTATGTGCTGTCAGTGAACATACTACTAGTAATAATCCTTACTTTTGATTGAGTGCCTTTCACATCGGGAGGACGTCTCATAGCACTTCACAGAATTTACTGTCGAGTACAATGACTGTGTATTTTACAGGTAAATGAACCAGCCAATTTGCGCTAGCCAATGACTTTGTATTTGATTATATTATATGTAACATAAGAAAAGGCATCCTACTCAATCACATAACCGGTAAATGAGTATCAAAAGACGTTTTTTGAGGGTTACAAAGGTTATGATATCTCGATACACTTTTGTCCCTTTTCTTGATTGAATTAGGGGTACTTCCCAATTTTTATAGTGTATTTTTTCTTTGTTTAATGCACCATTCCTTAAATGAGACTGAAGGCAGACAAGAGTGGAAAAGTGAGTTAAAAGTCTAAGGAGCTGCTACGGTCTAATGAAATGGAAGAGTCAGCTTCATGGACTAGATGGCCTCCTCCTATTTCAATGACACCTTCTTAAACCATTGTCACTGATGTGGAGTTGGTGCTTAGGCTGCGGTTTTGATCATCTGTATGAGTGGAAGCAAACATATCTTCTGGTGATAGCATGCCCACCCACAACAGGTGCTGCCTTACAGTACAGTGGTATCAACTTTCTTGCACAGCTGTTGGTTTGAGCCTGCCAGATTTGGGGAGGTTACCTGATCTGTTGCATTTTACCTGCTATTTGTACTCTCTGGCATTATCAATGCTGTGGTGCAGTCTTTAGCCGTGAAGTATGCTGATGCAGATATGAGTGCCAGAAAACGACAAGTCAGCCTTAAAATCAAATCAAGAAAGTGCCTGTACCTAGAGAGAGAGAGAGAGAGAGAACATTTTTCAATCAGCTTATTATGTGGAAAGGTCCCAAAGATTCACAAGTAATTAGTGTCAAGTATTTTGACTTTTAATAGGAAAACATGGCAAGCATTTGTGCCAGCAAGAGCCCACAACCATCCATGAGGTGAATGACCAGTTAATGTGAAGGATTTTTGTCAAGGACATGGAGGAAAAACTCCTTTCTCTTTTCAAATGATATCATTGGATCTATAACATGCACTTGAGGACAGTTTAAAAAAAAATGTCTCATTGTACTACACTGAACTACTTGACCTTAGTTGGGGCTTGAACTCGCCCCTATCTGACCTTAGGTGAGAGTTAGAGGCCATGTGGTAAGAAAACTGAACACTGAAGACATCAAGAGTTTTTAACATTGTTCAGACATCAGTGTCTGCCTCACAGCTTAAACACTGTGCAAACAGTGAGAGAGAGGCTTTTTTTTCATGACTATTTCTAGGTTCAGGATAAACCCAAACAAAATTAAAAATCCAGCCTGATTTAATAGAAACTGAAGAATTTTTTGACAAAGAAATTCTTTGAGAGGTTTATTAGAAAAAAATATTTTTTTCATTCCAATTTCCCGAATCTCTCTACTTTGCCTCCTCTCTCTGCCTTCAAAACCCATTGAAAAACAACATTTTGTTTACTGATCATTTTGAGAATATCCTTAAATTTTCCTACACCATGCTCCCTTTCATATCACTATGACTTTGAGAATTTAATGTGTGTTAAAGTTGCTATATAAGTGCAAGTTGGTATTCCAGAATACCATTTTCTGGAAACGGCCACATTTTGTTTGAAATGAAGCAATATTATTTGATATCTTTGTTACTGACCATTGAGCCACTGAGAAGTTTTTTTTCTTTCTTGTAGCCTATCATAATGTATAAGCACATATGTTTGCCACACACTTGGTCAGGATGAATATTCAGTGAAGTGAGACATATAGAAATACCCAGGTAACATTACACCCTAGTAACAGGTTCAGCAGATAACCACTTTTAGAGACATAAGTTAGTTATTTACCTGCACTCAAGCAATAAGTATAGCATAGCACCAAAGTGAAATGGCTTAAATGGCTTAAATAAGAAGAACACCTATTATCAAAATAAAGTATTACTCCAACTCCATCAGTATTTCATAAAATCATATTCTTGGCCTTTGCATCTCTGATACTTTTTAAAGCCTTCTAATGATGTGTCCGTGCGTTTATATGTGTGTGTTTATAGGTGTTTGTAAGTGTGTGCTTGTTTGAGTCTTTGGTTTGCTGCTCCCTAATGGCATCTGTAAGGTTGGCATGAATGATTGTGTTCAAATTGATCATGTCCATGAATACAGATGTGAAAGTTAATTCTCTATTGGATTTCTTTTGTTTTCCAAGAAGAGTGTTAATTAGCTATATGCAGTGATGTACCACTCCAAATAGATTAGACATTGTTAATTAAATAAGACTTGCTTGTCTGTTCACGAATCCTGGAATACAATTGGAGACAATTGGGAAGTACCGCTTAAGGTAGTGAATATTCTTCACAGATTTGGCTGAACAGATTAGTGCTGCACAGTCTCATTTATTCTTGAGATTTCCAATCTGGGGTAAACCTGCGATTTTAAAGTATATAGCAGTGATGCTGCCTGTTTACAAAACAGACACAATAATCGTCCCTGGTAGTTGTGTATTCAGAAACCGTTTTACTGCTGACAGTGCACTGGCACACTATATCATCATTATTATAATTTCCTCCAGCTCTCAATATTCCTGTGGAAGGTAATCATAGCATTTGAGTTTGTCTATTGATGTCTGCCCAAAATATGTGCTTGCATATTGATCCTTTCATTCTTTTCTTGAGCAGACATTCTTTGTAAATGATACGGATCCCATTGTACAAAGCTTATTTCCAGAGTAAGTTGCACAACAATACTAGTTCCTCCAGCTTCCAGAGTAAATCAGCTTGAAATAGTTGGAGCAACACATTCACATTCTTGTCTCGTATCTGTCGAGTGTGTTTTTTCCGAGGTTTTTATTTATGGTGTGGAAATCCTTATCAGCAACGGAACTGTTGGGTTTAGGGAGGCTAGGTCACCTCTTATTTCCTTGCCTGTATTTCCCTGTTCATTCCTCACATTCTTTGTCCCACTATTGGTGGCTGAGCCTTCAGTCGCTATCTCCGAACTGTTTGGAACTCTTCAAAAATCCCTTTGCCCTACTCCTCTGATCATGTGTTTGTGCCTTATAAATTCTCCTTTCTCTCCTTCCTACTTGGTGCTCCCTGTTGCTTCTGTGAAGCACTTAGAGACATTCATTCTAGGTGAAAGGCACTATATAAATGCAAGTCGTGTTTCTGTAATTGCCTTTTGACAGATATATGCCAAATAGCTGTTGATTTATAGAACAGCATTTTCCTTTCTTGAATCTATTAAGCATTCTCCTCTGTAGAACAATGGGGTCACAGGTGCAGGACCCATGGAAACAGGATAAAGGGAAGGAAACAATTTGAGTAAAAATTATTTTGATGTATTGACCTGGAAGTAATATGTCAACGAAAACCATCTTGAAGAGACTCAGGAGACCAAAAGATGTGGCTTTCATTCTTAAGGTTTGAGTATAATGTCAAGCAGGTTGAGCAGTTTGCTGTGCTATCACCAGAGATATACAGCATCTCCAGATCTTCTGGTTAATTAAATGAGCAGTAAAGTTATCTCATGGGCCAATTTTGTCCAAAACAAACAGTCACTACATGCAACAGTAATTGCTGTGAAACACTTTGAAATGTTTCGACATCATAGGTGCTATAAAATTGCAAGTACTTACTTGCCTTATGGCGCTCTTCTGAATTATCAAAAGCTATCTCCAAAAGGTTTGCAATCGAAAACAGCTACAAAGGATCTAGGGAATGTGTTGTCGGAATCAGTAAAGCTGCAATAACAACCTGTTTTTCAACAGTTATTGATTCAATTCATTTAAAATGGGCATTTAGTGAATTTAATAATCTACCAGTTTATGTGCAAATGTGTTCTTAACTGTATGATTAGATTGATCTGGGATACATTATGCTTAATTAGGAAATATTTGTACAGCTTTTAACCCATACTTGTAAGCAGATTTTTCCTTTTTGACATACCTGACATTTTTTCAACTGAATTATATTTGGAAGAAGTATTATTTTTCTTAATAGTAGAGCGACTGTTTGATTTTCATCCCATCGACTTTTGCATAAAACTGATCCAATATCTTGGGAAGCTCTTGTTCGTGGCTAAGAAAAATTGAAATGGTGAATAGTGATACCTTTGATGTTGGCAATACCAATGCATGTCATTCAACTTGTGTTTATTAAAATGTAATCTGTGCAAGTTAGTGAGATAGTGACAGTGTTGATGAATTCAACCAATAGCAATAAACCAATATGGACATTGTCATAGAGTCTAACCAACTTCGTGGAAATTGAGAGTGCCTGTTATGGTGAATTCCTATTTGTATGTAGTGGTCTCTTTTTGATCCATTTTGGATACAACATTTATTTCAAGTGCAGTATCAGTTGCTTAATGAAATACAGCAATGATAATTTGTTTGCTTGATTTTAGTTATGCTTTTCTAATCACTGTGTCTTCAAACCTTTGTTTTTGCACCGTCAATCTGTTTGGATACTGTATGATGTCAGGCTCAATTGTTATTTACTGTTGTTGGACACTGGGTCTGTTTACTACAAAGAGCTCTGCAGATGGTAGAGTAACGTGACTTTATGTGGACAGGCACATCTGTATTTTGATTTTAAAAAACCCACAAAATACTGCAGATGCTGGAAATACTGGAATCTGAAAACAAAAACAGAAGTCGCTGGGAACACTCAGCGGGTCAGGCAGCATCTATGGAGAAAGGAAAGTGAGTCAACGTTTCAGATCCACAACCCTTCATCAGAACAGGGTCTTTTGTATTTTGACTTAGTCTGGCTCAGTTTGTAGAATTTTCACCACTGCATCAGAAGATGGTGGGTTCAAACTCTATGCTGGGCATTGAGTTAGTGGTCTATTTAGGCTGACATTTCAGTGTAATATTGAAGCATTGCGTTATCAAAGGTGCTGCTTTTTGATAAGATTTTCACCACAGTCCCATCTACTGTTTTTAAAGATGAACGTTAAAGATCCCATGACTGTTTATAAAGTGAAGGGAGTTTGTGATAAGCAGTCCTCTAGCGCCTTGGGACGTTCTCCCGACGTGAAAGGCACTTTACAAATTTAATTTTGCTGCTGTTATTGGTCATTCACCTCATGGCTATTTGTGGGATCTTGCTGATGTATATAGCAACCTTATTTTGCCTACAAAATACATTCACTACAATTTGAAGTAATAAGGTAATAGAAAAATGCAAACTTTTTCCTTCTCTAAATCTGATTAAACTACTAAAGGCAACTAATTGGGGTTTATAGAAGACTTAAACCTCTAATTTCTCTTTCTGGCTCTCAGTAAGGCTGTAATCTATTATTGTTGGTTACTTCTATACACCTCTGTCTTATGCTTTCATGAATGGAACCATTGTTCACACAGTCTGCAAGAAGCACAAGACAGTACAATCTCCCAAAGAAACTATCTGATATTTTATATATTCAATGCAAACTAAAAAAGCCTATTGAACAACTAGTTGAAGTGAAGACTTATTATTGGTGATATTGGTACCAAAACAAGTGTTGTCATTAACATAATGTGGTTCAACAGAGGGCCAGTAAAAAGATTAATATTTAAGGAACTTTTGCAAAAACATAGCTTCAGGTAAAACAAGCAGTGCATTTATTCAAGTTGACCAACAAGCAAATAATAATATAGGACCTGAAATCCTGGCTCTGATGAAGTATCACATCCCTGCTGAAATCTAATGACTATGTGCCTCAGGGGATTGCTAGAAGGAAATGCTGTTTCATTTGCTGAACGATAAGACAGAGGTGTTTGTGGTAAAGCAATTTTCTATACACAGTAAGCTTCTTTTTCAAACTTTGCAATTAAAATTAAGGGGACAGTATTCAACCGTTCTGATTGTAGCAACCCTTACCATTTTGCATGCCAGCTTTTTTCTTGGATTTTGCCATCTCGGAATTTGCGAATCGCTCTTTTGAGAAGCACACACAAACCTCACAATCCAATATTCACAAACCGCAAGTTGAAATTGACTAAATTCCAGGATGGTCCAACCTTTTGGCTGTTGAGGGCCGGATATGGGATTCGAGAAACATCCGTAGGCTACATAAGCAATATTGCAAAATATATAACAATACCTTTTTAAGATACTCCTGCTCCCCCTTTTCCTGTCACTCTCTGCACTGCCTCTTATGAGGTTGTACGAGGCATGAGGCAGATTAGAGAATGATGGAAAAGAAGGGCCAAGCAGGAGGTACCAGTCAAACCTCCCACTCCACCCTACTTCCCGTCACTCTCCTCGCTCAGGTGAGGCAGTGCAGAGGCCGACTGGAAGAGAGGCCCAATTGGGAGGTAAAACAATTAAGTTAAGTTAAGTCAGAAATGGTTCGTGGGCTGGATGAAATTATCCCTTGTGCCGGAAGTGGCCACGGGCTGCCAATTGGACCATCCTAGACTAAACAAACCTGTTTTGTGAATATTGCATTTTAGATCCCGATATGTCATGGCAAAGGAGAAAATACCAATCACTGAACTTCTCCCGACTCCTGAATAACGATAGTAGAATCGGTAGAAAAAGCCAAGAGTGAAGCTGCTTGATAATCATACCCAGCTCCATTACTGATATTGAGGTAGAAGTTGATTGGGTAAAGACTCTACCAAGTTTTGACTCGTGGGTGAAGTATGGGTCATAGGTGATGTCAGGGAGTATGTAGCACCATAGCCACAGGCTCTGTGCATGCATGGAACCACATTAACATGTCAGCGACTCCAGTTCTCTTTGTGCATCATGAGACAAGGACTGAACCCACTAGAAACAATCACTTCAGGGGTATAAGCTGTTTTGTAGATTTAAATGGGAAACAGGCCTTATTTTGTTGAGAGAAACATGACCAACTGATATCACTATTCAGGAATATCCAGTTGTGAGCGTCTTACAAACCCACCAAGTGTGTAAATTTACACAGATTAGATGAAAATAGGCTGAATTCTCATTTTTATTCCAAAGCAAATACATTTCCAGTGCTAACGATCCAATTTTTTTTACAATGTCGGAAGGCTGAGAATTGATGAACAAAAATGAATTAAAATACGTCTGGAGCCTTAGAAATGAGTGTGAGTAGGGTGAAGGTGAGTACTGAGTAGGTGAACCCTAAATATGCACCCCTATGGTGAGAATGACTCACCAACTTGAGGCTGAAACATGCTTTTACTGTGGCAGCAGAAGAGGTCCAGGTGACTGTGGCAATTGTCAATTTATCTGTTTTGTGTCCTTAAATTGTGAGAATTGTCTTTAAATAAAAATGATTAAATATAAAACAAAAACTGTTGGTATTGATCAGATGAAAATCGGAAAAGTATACCCGTTGATTTTTATGCTTACAATCCCTACATATGTATCGTGTTTTATTTTAAACAGGAAAGCATGCCACAAACAAGAACCTTTGCAACTATGTTCAACAGTCGAGGTTACAATCGGCACCTGTACTTATTGAAAGAGGACAACTGCGGGGGCCTGTTTTACCATGAGAACAACCTTGTTTCGGGATCATTGGAGGCGCTAATCCAACACCTTGTGCCCACAATTGATTACTACCCAGATGTAGGTTTGATTCAGTTGAGTCTCCATGTTTTGTATCAGACACAGTTCTTACATAGATTTTACATAGACTGTACTGCACGGAAACAGCAGTACCAACTTGGTACTTGGACCAACTAGTCCATGTACTTCATATGATCCTCCATCCTACTCCCTCCCATACCCTTCTGTTCCCTTCTCCTTCATGTGCATATCTAGGTTATTTCCTACTTTAACAAACAAAAGGCTATCAGAAAATTAAACAACAAAATAATTTTGGCCCACATTTCACCAACGACCCAAAAATAATGTGGCTCTTGACACTGATATAAGCAGAAGACACAAGCTACCCCACCATGTGGAGAACGCAGTGCTCAGAGCATGATGCAAGCAACATTGGGCATTTGCATGGAAGGAAGGGAAGTCTGGTAAAATGGGATAATGAATGGGCGATGGATCTGATGTGGGGAAGGAGCAACCTGGGAGGGAGAGCAGAGTTTCAATGAGGAAGACCTGAGTTGTTGGTGAAAGAGTCAGAAGATGATCCATCAACCGCAGCACAGACTGAGTAACTGAAGAGGAAAGTTTAAACCAGGAGTGTAATTTGGGCAGACGCCCATAGAATGGTAATTTGTTTACAAAGCATGGTTCTATAGTCTGAGGAGAAGCTCAAGGCACAACAAATAGTAGAACTAAAGTGTTCAAGAATAGAGTTCCAAAGCTGTGTTATTCTGTATTGGGATGATTATCAGCAGAGCTACCTGGTGAAAAACATACTTGGTGGGGATTGTAGATTATACCAGAATTTTAAAAGATTTTGGATCATTTAAGATCATTTAAGATCATTTGACATTGCATCGTGGAATTTTACAGTGCAGAAACAGACCACTTGTCCATCAATCCTGCACTGGTGTTGTTTTTCTATATGAGCACTGTAATTTAATACAGGTTCACTTACTATACCTCTCATATTCCATTTTTTCAAAAGAGTTGATTATGTTCAAAAGGTGTAGAACAAGAAAAAAGCAGGTGCAGGTAGGACCTGGGAAAAGTACAATTTATGCTTTTTTGTTCACTTAATTCCATACGTGGGTTTCAGGCATTGCTTGATCTTACAGTTTTTGGTGTACCCATGTAAAGAGGGGCAAGATTGTGTTCCAGTACACTAGTTGGATACAGTGGGGTCCTGGCAGTGGATTAGCTACACACACTGCCACTGGGAATAGTGCAAAGTATGTGGAGAAGGAAAGAGAAATGGGATAATTTTTTTGAGGCTTCATTGCATATTCCTGGTGTCAATTAGCATGTTTCATAATGCGTTTCTGGTCTTATGAAACACTGCAAACTTTATCCACAATATATTTTAAATAAGACTTGCACACATAAAAGACAAAAAATGGTATATTCTGAAAAAATACGGTAATTTCATTTATAATTTATATATTATTGAGCATAATCCTCTCTGAATCATTCGAGTTTAATTTATGTTGAATGCTAAAAATAGCAAACAGCCAACTATTTTTAGTGATCAGTATAAGACAACCCTTTAAATTAAATTTAAATTCCCTTTAAAGCAGAGTAACTAGCCATTGATGATACTTAAAAGCACCTCAGAGTGTAATTCCTTGTGTTTGCTAACATCTCTGTGTTTCTCCTCCAGAGGACATATATATTTACCTTTCTGCTCAGCTCCCGTCTCTTCATTCGGCCTTATGAGCTCTTGGCGAAGATTTGCCTCATGTGTATTGAACAACAGAGACTGAATGAAGCAGTTTTAGATAAGGTGAGATTATCGAGGGAGGCCTTCTCTTTGCTGGAGATTGCTGACTCTGCAAATAACAAAAAAAAATTAGGATTTATTTCTCATAATTAATGCAACGAGCATTCCATTTATATGCTAAAGTGTTTTTTTTTGTTGCTTAATTTTTAATGAAAGAAGTGTGTCAAGACTAACAATTACGCTGTGCCAATGTTGTCCTTGAGATTAAATAAATGTTGTTACATCCTGCATTTCGATCTATCATCACCGTAAGTACTATAATTAGGTACAATCTGATGTCTGTTTGCAGGGCAAAATAAGAAAATTTACACCAAAAATAGTGCAGCTGTTGATCGAATGGACTGAAACATTCCCCTATGATTTTCGGGATGAGAGGATGATGAGAAATCTGAAGGACATGACCCACAAAATAGCGACTCTGGATGAGGTTAGTTTATTTTGCAAACCTTGTATGAATGATAAAGAGTTAGCTTGTGGTGATTTTACATTGTTTTTTTCAAGAGGAGAAGGAGGGGAGAAATGGGGGGAAAAAACTCCAGCTCAAGCAAATGAACAGAATATGGAAAAGGGAAGAATGTATAGCAGATGTGCTCATACTCAGTTTGTTTCTGATTTCTTCAAGAAAAATAATGCTTATTATTATTTTTCAAATGAAACTTACATTTTGTGTTCTGCAAAAGAGATTGAAAGGGAACAACTGTTTTTTAAAGCCTGATGCAAGGATCAGTAACCAATGTTCTGCAATGACAGACATAGATTGATGCAAAGACATTCCTCTGAAGCTGCAGAAACTTGTAAGTGCTCCCACGGCCCGTCTGAGTCCTTCATTTCTATTCTATCTGATCTGCATGGATTCATGTACCCTTTGGTGATTTTACAATGTGATACAAATTTACATTTATATAGTGCCTTTCACATCAGGAGGACATCCCAAGGCACTTGACAGTACTAGCTAGGCACCTGGGCTCGAGATGAGAGCAGAGGGGGTGGGGAGGAGACAGATAACTGAAAGCATGGTTAAATAGCTAGGTCTTGAGATGGAACTTGAATGAGATGAGGGGCAGAGTGAATCAGAGGAACGCCAGGATAGATTTCCAGAGAGTGGGGGCAGAAAGGCTGAAAGCCTGTCCGTAGATGGCAAGGCAGGAAGAGTGGGGACCTGAAGCAAGCCTGTGCTCATGAGCAAAAGAAGTGGCTGGGACAGTAGGGTTTGAGAAGATCACAGAGATATCACCTTTATATATATATATATATATATGCTGTATGTCTTTATATTTATATTGGTATCTGATCTCCCCACAACACAATAGAAACTGTGTCCACAAATGCCGGAGGCTCCAGTCATCTCATAATGGAACACAGCAAAACTAATTTCATCTGATAATTATCATTCCCAGACACACGTTTTAACCTTGATGTTAATAATAGACTAGGCTCAGGTTGGCACTGTTTCTTCTTATTAATTATTAAGATAAACACTGATCAGTTAAGTGTATGTCCACATCCGTTATTTCTGGGGAATTCAGTGCTACTGGGTTAAACAGAGAAATCATTTTCAGAAAAGAAGACACAGTTCATGTATTTTGCTGGTACAAAAGCTTTTGGAAAATGAGGGTTCTGGAGATTAGAAGTGAGGACTGTTCAGGTGAATTCGGGTCTACAGTCAGATCCATTTATATTTTGAATTTCAGATTCCTTCACCATCTTTCAATCAGTTTCACTGCCAGTATTCCAAAATACATTAAAGCTGCACATGCCCTCACAGTCACCGGCTTGTGACTTCCAAAGGTGAAATTAAGTGGAACAAATTTGGACAAATTCAGATATTAAATTAATTTTAAAGTTCATTCCTGTAGGCCCATTCCCCTTAAGACATGCAAAATAATGCTCCACTTCTTAAATTATTTCAGTTCACTTGTGTTTGCTTACAAAATCACAATCACTGCACTCTGCAGTAAATCTCGTGAACCGATTTTACACGTCTTCCCTCAATGCAACGCTTTTTATTCAAATTATTGTAAGTGTAATTCATACAGTTCAATAAAATATCAAGAAAACAAGTCACGATATCTAGCATCTTTCACTTTCTAATCCTATCCAAGGTATGACCCCTTGAGAAAAACGTATTTGAATCCAAGTTTTCCATCCATTCTCCGAAATAGCTCAGTCAAGTTCCCCCTTTTGGTGTTCTTAATTCAAGAAAGAAGTCTCAGGCTTGGTATCTTTATCACCATCCAAGGATGCACGCTCCACCTCACTGAACCAGTCCAGAACCTTGGCGTCTTGTTTGACCCTCAATTGCCTTTCTATCTCACATTGGTGCCGTGACCCCGCTCTGCCTTCCCCCACCTCCCGCAACATCACTCGACTCTGCCACTGCCTCTCCCCTCAGGCCGACAAAACCCTCATCTATGCATTTGTTACATCCAGGCTCAACTACGCCAACTCTCTGCTTGTCGGCTTTCCCAAATCTTCTCTCCACAAGCTGCAGTGTCCTCTCCCGCACCAGGTTCCAATCACCCCCGCCCTCGCCCGGCTCCACTGGCTTCCCATCACTCAGAGGATAGAGTTCAAGATCCTCATCCTTGCCTTCAAAGCCCTCCACGGCTTTGCTCCTTCCTAACTCTGTGACCTGCTAACACCATATCAACCTGTCCATTCCCTCTACTCTGCTGGCCTGCTCCATGTCCCCCCACCAGCCCACCCCACAATTGGCAGTCGTGCCTTCAGCCTCTCTGCCCCCATTCTTTGGAACTCCATCCCACAGTCCCTTCACCTTGCTCCCTCCCTTGCCTCCTTCAAGGCACAACTCAAGACCCTCCTCTTCGTCCGCACCTTCAGTCACACTCCTACCCCTACCCTTCCTGCCCTCCATCCCGCCTGATCCCAACCCCCTGCTCGGGTCCAAATCCCTGACTGTCCAGCACCTTGGGACATCCTCCCGACATGAAAGGTGCTATACAAATGTAATTTGTTGTTGTTGTTTCTCCCATAGCTTTATCTCTTGAGTTCGTTAATAGTATAATTCAGCACTCAATTGAATATCCTCTTTAATTTAGGGAGACCGAAAATACAAACAGTACTCCAGACACAATTGTTTAATATTAACATTGATCTGCTGACCAAAAATTATGATCTTACTACAAGATTGAGTCAGGTTGCATTGCCAGAATCAATGGCCACATGGCCCGCTGACACACACTGTCAAGGCCAATGATACTCTTGATAGTACCTCGGGGCACTTGCAGCCTACCTCCCCTTCACCTGAGCTTTCGTTCATGATCTGCTGGAATTCAGTGCTATTCTCTTGTCTTTCTCAGAGTCCTGTAGCTCAGTAGTTAGAGCACTCGCTTTGCAAGTGAGAGACCCTAGTTCAATTCCAGGCAGGGCGAAACCTTGGGCAAGTTTCCTTACTCCTCACGCCTAATAATAATCCCTCCAAAACCCCCAAAAATAATAAATTGGTCATTTTCAATCTACAACTGTTTGTGGGACATTGCTGTGCGCAATTGGCTGCTGTGTTCGCCCACAAATATACAGTCAATTCACTTTACAGTGTGTTCTGTGAGCGCTTTGGGACGTCCTCCCGACGTGAAAAGCGCTATATCAAAAGCAAGGATTATTATTATTATTATTACCTGAGAGTGAGCAAGGGAATGGATTGAAGAGGCAGGTTTATCTCAGCATCCGTAGCTCAAGTGAAAGTCTTCCATTAAATCTACAGATTCTATAAGTTTAATAATAATAATAATCCTTGCATTTGATATAGCGCTTTTCACGTCTTCTTGACATCTCAAAGCGCTTCACAGAATAGATTGTAAAGTGAATTGACCGTATATTTGTGGGCGAAACGCGGCAGCCAATTGTGCACAGCAGTGTCCCACAAACAGTCATGGATTGAAAATGACCAATTTATTATTTTTTTTGGAGGGATTATTATCAGGCATATGGAGTAAGGAAACTTGCCCAAGGTTTCTTCCTGACTGGAATTGAACCCAGTTCTCTCGCTTGCAAAGCCAGTGCTCTAACCACTGAACTACAGGACTCCACATATAGCTCAGTCCTTGTTTTGCTTCTTCCTTTGGGAAATGCCTAGCCTCTTGGTGGAACAATTGAATCATTTGTGGGATGTCTTGCATACATACAGTCTCATCACTCTATGTGGTAGCATTCCTGACAATAACCCCAAACAAGTCACTTTTAGTATTGCTAGTCCAGGCTTATACATGAAGAATTGCCCCTTGAGCCAGGCACAGAAAATCTGTAGTGCCTCTGGAACTATATACCAGGATGGGAAATTAACTTCAGCAGAAATGTGAAGAAAATAGAGACGACGACAGCAACAGAGTCATATTATGATTATGAATGTAATTATGTAATTATGAATGTAATTATGAATTATTACAGAAATGACCTAAAAATAGGTCAATAACGTGTCTGTAATTAGTTGTTTATTCTGAACAAATTTGTAGTTCTGGACTATTTTCATAAATAATACTGAGATGAATAGAGCACAATAAAATCTGTTCCAATATTGAAGGCTATTTATAACATTTCAGTACTTGAGACCTAAGGGCTGTGTTGCTGATTATCAACATTGATCTACCAACTAACAACATTATGAGCTTACCACAAGTTTGGGTCAGGTTTGGTTTTTATCTTGTCATTTTATCCAGTGTTTTAACTGAATTATATTATCCTCCAAGTGGTTCCTTTCACGCTGAACAGAGCAGCATTGAATGGTGAAAGCCAACTGGATCCTGACCCTTTTATTTATCTGTCAACAATAGTAACTTGCATTTGCTGCTTTCCGTACAGTGGGCACGTTGTGAACAATGGCCTTTGTTTCTCTAGGAGCTTAATCTTATTATAATTGATGTAGCACAGACTTTATCTGTGTTGACCTCTTTCAGCTGCAAATGGTGAGACTTGGAAAATAAACCAGAAATAGAAGCACACATCTGTTTACCCAGTTAGTAGTTTTACACAGTTGTTTGCAACCCTGTTATTTTATCCCACTGTTATTATGAAAGTGACGCACTGAAGCTGAGGCTTGCTATTAAGGCAAAGCAAACAAATCTGTGATTCCTTTTGAAAGCAGCTGGTTCCTGCAGGCAGTCAGTCACATGTTGCATTGTCTATACCCATCACTGTCAAGAGTTACATGTCCCAAAAGTCTTGGTTGAGTGAGAAAATTCTTGTTACATTATTATACTGTAGCTCAGTGGTTAGAGCATTTGGCTCACAAGCAAGAGACCCGGGGGTTCAATTCCCAGGCAGGGTGAAACATTGGGCAAGTTTCCTTACTCCACACGCCTCTGTTTACCTAGCAGTAAATAGTGACCCAGTTGTTAGTGTACTGGTGATTGCTTTCCAGGGCTCATAATTCCTTCTAAAAAAATAATAATAAATTGGTTGCTCAATCCATGACTGTTTGTGGGACACTGCTCCCACTTTCCTCCACACAAAATATACAGTCAGTTCACTTTAGAGTATTTACTGTGAAGCGCTTTGAGACGTCTAGAAGACATAGACACTATATCAAATGCAAGGATTATTATTATTACATTGGCTTTTGCGCGTGTGCAGTCAATTGTGATTCAGTTTGATTTTAAAAAAGAATTGGGCTGGATGGTTCCATTTGTAGTATAAGCCAAGTAATAGAGACTTACTGAAGTGAACTAGCATAGCATTACAGTGGCAGATCACGTGCTGTTGTAAAGATTTGGTCCCTGGTGGAGATGATTATTCTAACCCGCTCTCCGTAGGGTGCGAAGAGCTTTATTACTTCTTAGCTGGCCCACTGGTGCAAGCAGATGGCTGGGCATTCACAATGCAGGATTAGATTGGCTCACAGAAAGGAAAGGAATCCAAAAATAACAGAGTAGCATTTCAAACAGATTTTAACAATACTCTCAGGTGATAACAAATTCTTACACGTTAATAACCATGACCTTTATCATGTTTGAGTTGATGCCGAGAAATGGGAAACTGCTGCTCGTTTGTTTGAAACTCTTAACTTCTTAATATCAGACAAATTTATACTGCTCTCTGAAATTTTGCTGTGAGAAGGGCTTCGACGCTTGACACAGCAAAATTTCCGAGCTATATCCTCCCAACATGAAAAGTGCAATATAAATTGTATTCAACAACACAATGTATTTTGTAAGCACAAGCTGTCTACGTACATTCTTTTTAGCTCTAGAGTGGAGCATTGAAAACTTGGGGGTAGTCCAATTTTATGAGTACTCAACAACAACAAACAACAACAAATTATATTTGTATAGTGCCTTTCACGTCAGGAGGACGTCCTAAGGTGCTGAAACTGCAATGCCTTGGGATGTCTTCCAATGGCTAAAATGTGGGACAAACATCCACATTACAATTTCTGCTGATAATTGCGACTCTGCTCCTGAAGCAGATTGGATTAAAGTAGAGCCCCTGGAGGTTAGCAGGGTGTTCATCCAGGGTGTATCCCATCTTGTGTACCTGTGCTACATCGTTGCCAGTGCCAGGAAGCTTGAATTTATCAATATGTTTCATGTAGCTGGATCCAATAACCTGATCTCCTGCAGTTATAAAGTATTGGTCACTTTAGTATATACATGGCACGTTCACTCAGTGATTCTATTTATCATGAGATGTTTTTATCAATATACTTCTTTTCTTTCAGTTGCATCGGAAAACTATGCATCAAATGACGCAGAGTCTGATTCGGAAGCTCACCACCCTTAACCAGTACGAAGACGTTCTGTCAAAATTAAACGCATCTGTCACCGATAGATTGACCGTCCTAAAGACCAAACCCCAGTCCATTCAGAGGGATGTAGTCACCATCTGCAGTGATCCTTATACTTTAGCCCAGCAGCTAACTCATATAGAACTAGTGAGTGTTTTATGCATTATTACTATAATATCTTACAATGTACCAGAGTGCATCGAGGTGCTTTTTTTTTCTTTTTGTTGTTTTTCTTTGGTTATGGTTGTGTTTTTCACCTTTTTTTAAGTGAAAACCTCTATTCCCTATTCTTATGTGGTTTGTGTTGAGGGATGATTTTATGGCATCTCCTAAGCCTTTGTAGGAAGCAATTATAAATATTTTGTCATGCTTAAAAATGACTGTTTAATGTTTTAGGGTGAATGTATCTGAGTCAGAAGGTCGGAGGTTCGAACACCACATCGGGACTTTGAACTCACTGTCTTGGCTAACGTTCTTTGGGGAACGCTGCATTGTCAGAGGTGCTGCCCTTCAGATGAGACTTTAAATTGAGATACTGCCTGTTCAGGTGGATGTTAAAGGTCCCGTGGCACTACTCTAAAAGAGAAGGATGTTTGTCATGGTGTCATTGACTTAACAAACTCCCAGATAACATCAGTCATTCACTTCATGTCTGTTTGTGGAACATTGTTATGTGCAAATTGGTGGCCGTTTTAACCTACACCTTATGCAGTCACTATACTTTACAGTAAATCCTGTGAAGCACTTGAGATATTTCACCTGGAGGAAACACCTATAACAATGCAGCACTCCTCCAGCATTGTGCTAACATAGGACTTAAACACACAACCTTCTGTCTCAGAGGTGAGAATGCTGCCAGCTGAACCAGATTGACACCTTTTATAAGGATACATCAAGAACTTGTTTTAGTAATTGGTTGGACGAGTTCCTGCAAGCAGTATATTTTCTCAATCGGAAAGAATTTAATTGCAGCGTTAAGGCAGGAAGGGCCACATTGACTATCTCCTTTGGCCTCTGTAATGCCAGGATTGTAGAACGGCGGAGCTCTCTTATAATAATAATAATAATAATCCTTGCATTTGATACAGCTCCTTACCACATCTTTGAAATATCTCTTTGTTAAGGTAGAGGCATTTTGTAAATCTGCAACTAGGAATACAAAGATTCTTGATTCAGTATCATTTCCTAAACCCAATGCAGATGTCCCCCAGTAGACTGCTGTCTCAGCTGCCTACTTATCCTGTGAGTTCAATTTGATTATATATTTGCCCTGCAGCAGTGCTGAAGGAATGCACTAGCATTACTATTCATAACTTACACAATGCTTTATGGCCTATTATCACATTATTACTGTGCTTCTTATCGAGTTCTATTGCCTTGCTTGGTATACGCACGATTCATTTCAATGGAAATTGTTTTTAAAATAACTATAGCAGGAATAGAGAGTTATTACATGGAGAAGAGGTAATCGGGAACAGCTGTTTGGTTCCATCTTCTCCCTTAGGTCTGGGAAGATTGTTGTCGAATGAGACAGACCAAGGGTTTGGGCAAGCAAACAAAAGTCCATCACAGCCACCAGTTGAAGGTGGAATGACAGTGTAACTGTGTGCTATGGATTAGTGTGAAGATGCTTTTGAAGACCTGCTGTTTTTAGTGGAAATCTTTCTTGGCCTGCTGTTGCTGGTTTCACCTGCTGTTTTTGGTGCATTGACCCGTGAAACAGCACAAGCTATCACCTGGGGTACAGATGTGACAATAATCCTTGACATGGACCAGATCCAAAGCAGCTCACTTTTGTCACAATCTTTATGTGGACAGGAAAAGCATAATTTCTGTTGTTTCAGAGTTCAGACATAATTCAGAGTCTTCCAAAACACAGGATTTTTCTACAGAAAAATAGTAGCTTCCCTCACCACATCTTATTTTTGATTTTTTTTATTCTCCTGCTTTTACTTTTCTCCCTGACATTTATCTTATTAGTGATTATAATTTGTTGCTTATCTGATATATCTGTACTTCCTCGCTCTTTCCTTTCCATTCTCTCTCTGTTACCTCACTCAAGGTCTTTTTTGTGTTTTGGCTCCACAGCTGGATGTCTATCAAGCTTCTTTTGAACATTGAGTCTAATCCGTTCAAACTTACTGAGTCTGTTTCTCCGAATGATTTAATTATCGATCTAACCCTGGGAAGTTGTGTTAAATATACTGCAGCGAATGGAGCGGAGTGGGGATTCTTGTAGAGGTTGTGTTGATGTAAAGGAATAGAGTTGCGTATAAGAAACACAATCAGTAGCAATGGACTGTGCTACTTTTCCCATTTCCAGGTCAATAAGTGTGAAAATTGTACAGTTTGAGGATCAGCAAACTGTCTCCTTGCAGATCAGGTTCCGACTGTAACACAGGGACACTAATTTATCCCACTGAACCCCCACAATATTACATTTTTCATCCTATTCTTATTAATATTTCATCAACACCTCAAGATTAGACTTCTCCCATGCTCTCTTTACTGGTCTCCCTAGCATTCTTGCGAGGCTCCATCAGCTTACAGTACTTCAGGAGATCAGCTTTAAGGTCCTTGTTCTTGACCTTTAAATCTTTCACTGTCTTACCCAGCCCTACCTCTGCACTCTCCTCCAACCAGGTTCTCCTGTCTGTACCTTCCACTCTAGTTATCCTTATCTTTCCTGGCCATGGGTCGCATTCCAGTGTACTCCTGCCTAGCTCGGTGTCTCTTTACTAGGACTGTGGGTGTGTGTGTGTCACATGGCAGTTTTTATTCCTTTAATTTATTCTACTTAATTCATCTATTCATTACATGATCAATACTAATGATTCTTATACTATAATCCCTATTTACTATTGTAACTATTTACAACACCTCCAATTCTGGGTTGTTGCTCGTTCTTCACTCCCTATGCCCCACAATGTCTCATGTCCTCTGGTACTTCTTCTAAAACCTCACTTCCTTTCTGCATTGTGTGCTGCATTAGAGGTGCCACTCTTAGGATGAGATGATACACCGAGGTCCCATCTGCCGGTTTAGGTGGACGTGAAAGATCCCATTGCTGTATTCAAAAAGAGAAGGGAGCTTTTCCTGGTATCCTGGCCAATAATCCCGCAGATAAAATTGGTCACTCAATTCATTGCTGTTTGTGGGACACTATTATGCACAAATTGGCTGCCAGATTTGTGTACCGATTAAACAGTCACTGCACTGTAAAATTCCGAGAGCTTTGATTAGTCCCGACGGCATGATACGACGCTCTATAAAATGCAAGTATTATTTATTATTTTTGTGTGAAAGTGAAAACTCTTGTTGATGCACCTTCTAGTGCTGACTTTTTGTGGGTTTTAATATTATATGGATACCATGGAGCTGTGTATGTGGGCACGGTTGTGGCATTTCCTGCACATATAAACTAAGGACGTATTGTTGACACTTTGCTTATTCCTCCAGGAACGGCTCAGTCATATTGGACCTGAGGAATTTGTGCAGGCATTCGCACACAAAGACCCTTTGGACAACAACAAGGTACTGTCTGTCTGAACAACGGTATCTTCAGTCGCTTAGATCCCCACTGTTCTCATTTCTCTGGTTACTTTCTAGTGATCCATGGAGCCTGGGGCGTGAATAATTTGTTTTGCATCCCAGCTTTTCTGCACTGCGGGCCTCATCCATTTTTAAAAAAAAAGATCTTTGGAACAATTGTGCCATTTTCCAATATGGATATTTTTAGTGCATTTTTGATGGGTTTTCAAATGCTGCACGCATGAGGAATTATTTAATGCGAACATAACTTGTAGATAAAGTAAATGAGAGAAAGATGTGGTATCCTCGTGTACAGGGAGGATAGAATTCCTCAATTATATAAATTTTATAAAATGGATTCTACAGCTTGGACAGCAGTGGTGAAGTGAATAGTCTGATTTGACCATCCTTCCCTGCTTTTCATGTGTGAATTCATCATCCAGGTGATACGATGATGTAAGACTCACTGCAAACGCACAAAGCCTTTATCAATTTAATTTGTTTCCCAATTGCCTCTTCTGAAATAAAACCAGCGGAGGCCACGGGATTCCTGGATTCGATCAGCCTTCTCTCCCTTTGCCACTATCTTTATTTCGGTAGCACTGAACAGGAAAATAAAACTTGTAAAGTTTTTATGTATTCGGAATGGGTCTCATATCATCGCACCATTTGTGCACATACGTGAAACATCGTAATGTCCTATTCATGATGTCCTCTTGGACCGGCCTTTTTCATTATGAGACTGTGGTGATGGGTGATCCAACTCCTAGTGGGGATGCTTGGCACTGTGATATTGGATCTCTTTTCATTACAGTTTGCCAGGGGAGGCATGTCTGCCTCTGTAGAAGAAGTTGCAATTCAACCACCTGTAAACTGAATGAATTGTGAAATTCAAAACCCTTCTGTGTTTTGCCACCTTTCAAGTGTTGTAAACAGACCACAGAATCAAACCTGCTGATTTTGCAGAAACACTGGTTGTGTCTTCCAGTGGCCCTGGGGAGCCCACCTTACTCTGAAAATTGCCTTTGGTTTATTTTTGATTTTAGTAATAATCATTACTAAATGACTATTTAGTAGTCATGATTACTATGGCCGACCATGATGTTTTCAGTCTCTCTATTGCTTGAGGAAAGCACATGGAATAAGATCAAATACAACCGGCGCTGAGTACAACTCACAATGAAAACACTAATCTCACATGACATGTAGATGGCACCATTTGATAATTGTGTGCTCTTAGTTACATGTACATACAAACCAGGCAAAATCCCCAGAAAGGCAGATCAGAATGATCTTCTGTTAATGTAGGCATATTTACATTCAATGTATTGTGCATCAGCAACTATTGGTTCTCTCATTTTCACATTGTGCGAATATCGACAGCAAAACGGGTGGAAAGAATAATTTTTTCTTCCCGTGACCCAAGAGAAGAAGTCAGTGAAAGAAAACGGTTGTTTTGTTATTTTGAAACAAGTTTCTGCACGTAGTATGTGCAAAAAAACCAAGGCGTGGATAATTTTGTGAGTTCTCTTATTGTCTCACACTGAGCTGTTTCATTGGCACCTTCTTATTGAATTTTAGCAGCTGGTTGTGATTTGGAAGGATCAGGCTTTGCCTAGCAGTGTGTGCTCGCAAACCGCTATGTTCATTTCTAATTGTGGTCAACGGCAGAGAATTATAGAATACGTAGTGTGGTCTGCAGATACCTCTCATGTGCTGTGCCAAAGGCTCTTTACTGCATTGCTCTCTGGCTATGATTAAAGAGGAGCAGAAATCCATCCAAAATAGCATCAGTTGCGGAGTACTGCAAAAGAAATTGCAGGACTGGATAGTCACAAAATCCTCAATTTGAGTGATGAACGGTGGAAGCTAAATGCAGGGCAGTGAGTGCTTCTGCCAGTGCTATGTGATTGAAGCAAAAGAAGAGAGGAACTCTAAACTGGAGTCCTGTAGCGCAGTGGTTAGAGCACTCGCCTCGCAAGCGAGGGGACCTGATTTTGAATTCCCAGGCAGGCCAAAACGTTGGGCAAATTTCCTTACTCCTCACCCTCTGGTTACCTAGCAGTAAGTAGGAACCCGTTTGTTAGTCGATTGGCGGATCGCTTTTATTTATCCCTTGAAATAAATAAATACAAAAATCTAACAATAATAATTTGGTCACTCAATCCACTAGTCTTAGTCTAACTGTACAGTGCGCAATTGGCTGTTGTGTTTTGGGCACAAAATATAGAGTCATTTCACTTTACAGTATATTCTGTGAAGTGTTTGAGATGTTTCGAAGACGTGATAAGGTGCTATATCAAATGCAAGGATTATTATTATTATAAACTGGATCTGTTCAATGAGAGTGAGATCAGAACAACAGATCTCTGTGAGCCGTATTTATAAATTGTGAAAACCTTTTAACTGAGAGTTGTGCTGTACGTGAACAGATTCCCAACTAAGGCAATCCATACTCCGTTGATTACCTCCTTCAATAAAGAGCTGGACAAGTATCTGCTTGGGAATAATATTGGAGGATTTAGCAATAAGTGCGGATAGAGATGAACAAACACTCCAATGTCCTGAGCTAGGTTGGTCAACTTGTCTCTAGTGAGAAGGCCATGTTTTGATCTTGGAGGCGTAGGAATGGGTGACTATTATCTTTTGGGGATTATTGAGTATATATGCAGAAATTTTCCCAGCAGGTGGAGTGACTGGGGTGAAATCTATGAAAAAATCATTCAGCCCATCAAGCCCTGCTCGTTCCACAGTCACGCAAAACCTGCCCCAAACAGGATTTCACCCTGCCCACTCTTATCTCCCGGGGAAATAATAATAATAATCCTTGCATTTAATATAGCACCTTATCACGTCATTTGTGATGTCTCAAAGTGCTTCACATGAGAGATATGTTGTGAATCCTAAAGCTGTTGGAACAAAGCCTCCAGAATAGTAATCCATCCCCACATCGGCAGTGTTTAGCCCTGACCTCTTACTGTTGACGATGATATCCCTCCACAGTGGATTACCCTGGTTGACTTTTCTCTTACCTAACTTAGAGGGGGTGCTGAGAAATATACCATGCAACAGGCTTCTTTCCTTTGAAAAAGAAAATGACAATGCCTCCCCAGCCAAATAAAAATCTAATTTTGGAAATTGCGTGTGTAGCAGGCTTTGACTGGAACCTATTGAGGTTTGGCTGCTTTATGCCACAGTTGATCAGAAGTGGTAATGTGGGAAGTTTATGTTGACAAATATTCCAGTCATTGCCAGGCCTCTCCTGTAGGATCAAGTGGCTCCTTTAATTGCCCACATCAATTAGGAGTGGGTGTAGAAATGTATTTACATGATGGTTTTGTCCATCTGCAAAGACTAGTAAATTCAACCCCTAAAAGTCTCTCACAGATTTCTGCTGTTATAGGGATTCTCGTGGCCCCATCGCCTGAACCTTGAGGGCCAGAGCCTGGCATCCACTTTTCTATCTGAGTCTGGATGGGGTCCTGAACATGGTTGAGTGAAACGAAAGTAGTTTTATTGAGGCAGAGAATTAGATTAGTGGGCAGTAAGGGAACCCATATGCCATACTGTAACCAGAGTAAGCAACAGATACAGGAAGCACTGTTGTAATTAGCTCCTGTCTACATACACCCGAGCAAGCCCATGGAAATCAAATAAGTGCTTTGAGTTGAAGTCAGTGACATCTTAATTTACAAGTTAGCAAGAAACCTATTCATTATAGCATTGCACATCATTGAACTGGTTAGCAATGCATTTGATTTTGCCATTGGGTACAGCTGGAGAGCCAGAAAGAAAAAGAGCGAGAGAGAGAGAACTGAGCTTGAGTCAGAAGCAATGCAGAAAGGTATATTTGAAACTGTACCAACAAAACAAAGGTTTGGTTTCATTCATCTGGCTGTGCTGGACAATGTTGATCAGATGAAGTCAAGATGACCCCTAATTTGCTTTTGCAACACAACACACTTCAATAGGTCATTGCTCAATTTCAGGATCATTGTACCACAAAGAAATTGAAAAAGGGCAGCTACTTTGAGCATATAGCTTGAGTTGGGTTCCAATGTGCTTGAAGTCTGTCAGATGAGTCATTAACCGAGGTCCTGTCTACCTGTTCAGATGGGCAATAAAGAACCCATGGCACTATTCGAAAAGAAAAGGAAGTTTCTCCCAGTGTTCTGGTCAACAATCCCCAAGTAAAATTGGTCACTCGTTTCATGACTGTTTGTGGGCCATTGCTATGTGCAACTGTACTGCCACGTTTGCCTGCAGATATACAGTCACTTCATCTCACCATAAATCCTGCGAAGAGCTTTGAGACACTTTTCTGACATGATAAGGCGCTATACCAAATTTAAGGATTTTTATGATTATTAGTTGTCAAGTTGTTCAACCACCTTGTCATCACAGCTAAGTCTTAACCAAACTATGTTCTCTTCTGATACTTACACAAGTGCACTTATCACCAATGGCTAACAGAATAGCTATCTTTTCTCTAACATAAACAAAGGCTGTTGAGGCAAATGCCCTTGGCTGAGATCAGCTAAGTCAGAACTGGCGTGGGATGAAACAGGGGACATTTTCAATTTGTGTAGCTCAGTTTCAAAGACATTCATCTTTTTTCAAGATGAAAAATAATTACAAGGGTTAGAAACAGAGCTCACCAGAGCCAACTCTCTACTTAGATGACCATAAACCATTTGTGAATTGTCAGCCTCAGTACCGCACTTATTACAGGTCATGTCTGCCAGTGACAAATCCTCTTTTCTCTCAGCACAGTGTCCACGGGGATCATTTCTGCTCGGTTTCCTGACATTTCTAATTTCTGCGATGGAAGATCCCGCTATACCAAATTTAAGGATTTAAATCTATTTTTCATGCGGAATCAAGATTCTCCCCTTTTTTTTTACCTTTACAGACCTGCTTCAGTGACTTGAAAAAGACAAGCAACCTGGAAGCATATGTGGAGTGGTTTAACAGACTCAGTTATTTAGTGGCAACAGAGATCTGTATGGTGAGTCAGCTTTTTATCTCTTCCTCATGCTAGAATGGGCTCTCTGTGGATGAAATAATAATTGTGCCTCATTATTATGCATTTCAGTTGTCAGTTCCCTTTAGTGAAAGGTAGTGTTTCACCTAAAGTCCAATTTTCTCATCTGTCACTCACAGCCCGTGAAGAAGAAGCACAGAGCGCGAGTAATAGAATATTTCATAGATGTGGCTCGGGAGTGCTTTAACATCGGCAACTTCAATTCCCTGATGGCAATTATATGTGAGTATTCCTCATAAATTGAGATTTAATACTTACAGTACAGATCAATCACCGTGGTAGACTCTCATTAAAACTGTGCAGCATCATTTGTTAAACTTGTCTGAGCTACGTAAGCTCGCTACGTTTTTATCCCGTCAGCTGCATTTGTATCCAGACAGATGTCAGGCACCCGGAAGGCCTGGAGACAGGTCAGCTAATGCTCTCGTGTGGCATTCATTTGCTGTTGGTATTTTAGTAAAGAGAAAAAAATTCAATCTGTAAGAATTTATCACACAAACTTCCTTAAATTACCAATACTTGTGACACTGAGGACTTGTAGCAGATTGCTTCTGTACAATATTTGTCTATTCAGCTAAATTGGTTAGTGCAATGTTATCAATGAAGAATGGGAAGCATCCCAATGATATAAAGCAGTAACTGAGAACAGATCGTTTCTACTTTTTGTAGATCACTCGATTACAGTCGGAATATTGGGGTAAATATGAAGGATTATAATTAAAAGAAGTCAATAGTTATCATTGGCCTCTGGGTTGGTTCCCTCTTCGCCTGAAGGCAATTGTGACTTGACAGCAGTTGATCTAATTTTGGTCGGTGTGATTATCATCAACAACGATAATATCACATGATACATTTTTCCTCAATTGTGTCTGCAAAATCTCTACACAATAAAAAGTAAATTTACATTCATAGCATCTTTCACATCGGGAGGATGTCCCATGGTGCTGAGGCTTTCCTTGGAGGTCGGGAGGGGGCAGGTAAATAAGGTCTCATTGAAGTTGGAGACTTGCTTGGCATCTGAATGTCTGAATTGAATCAACCCTCTGTGGCAGTCTTGGTAGTCCAGTTCCTGAGCCAGCAGGTCCGCAATACTGCAGGGCATTGCTGATTCCCGGCTTGTTGGCAGGACTTGGAGGTCAGACTGGTCGGTCACTCGAGGCAAGGATTCTTCTCACTGGTATACAGTTAACCCTGTAATCCAAGGATACACACTCCACCGCACTGAGCCTCATTGGAACCTTGGGGTCTTGTTTGACCCTCAACTGTCCCTTCAACCCCACATCCGTGCCATGTCCCGCTCTGCCTTCCCCCACCTCTGCAACATCGCCCTGCTCCATCACTGCCTCTCCCCTCAGGCTGCCGAAACTCTCATCCACACATTCATCACATCTAGGCTCCACTATGCCAACTCCCTGCTGGTCAGCCTTCCCAACTCTTCACGGCACAAGTTGCAGATCATCCAGAACTCTGCAGCTCATGTCCTCTCCCACCCAGGCTCTGTGAACGCATCACACCCACCCTCGCCTGGCTCTACTGGCTCCCCATCCCTCAGAGGACAGAGTTCAAAATCCTCACCTTCAAAGCCCTCCATGGCCTTGCTCCTTCCTACCTCTGTGACCTGCTACTGCATGTCAACCTGTCCACTCCCTCCGCTCAGCAGGCTCCATCCTATTCCACGTCCCTTGCCCGGCCTGTTCCATCATCAGCTGTTGGGCTTTCAGCCTCTGCCCACACCCTTTGGAACTCCGTCCCACAGTCCCTTCGCCTTGCTCACTTTCTTGCCTCCTTCAAGGTATGTCTCATGTCTCATCTTTGATCACGCCTTCGGTCACCCCCCTACCCTTCCTGCCCTCCACCACTCCTGATCCCAACCTCCTGCTCGGGTCCAAATCTCTCACTGTTCAGCGCCTTGGGACGTGCTCCCAATGTGAAAGCCGCTATATGTAAGTTGTTGCTGTTGTTGTTGTTGTAAGCCAAAGCCCTATGGGTAGGGTGGTCCTGCCTGGACAAGCAGCAGGAAGCTTGCCAGACAGTGGTCTGACTTTAAACTCCAACAATACTCTAATGCACACTGTGGGATTCCCAACCTTCGGCTCTTGCCAACCTGCGGCTAATAATCTGGAATTAAATAAGCAGGTTGCATTCTTCCAGGGAGAGAGTGTGCATTGCATTTCAGACACAGAGAAGTTTCTATATGTAGATGGCATACACATGTGAAACTCTTAAGTCTGGATTGGATACTCTTGAAAATGCTGATGTTTTTGTATGTATCAGACACCTGGCTCACCAAAACAAAATACTAAAAATAATCAGTTGGGGGAATCCCATTATAAAGAGATAACCCAAAGATCCCTGTTTTCGTCAATCACTATATGATAAATCATTGAATACAGTTTTGGGTCCCCTGTCATCATTTGTTGTCCAGGGTTCAGAGGAGCGTGATGGGAACGATTCTGGGTGATCCTGAATAATGACAAGAGATTTTACAACAACAACCACAACAAGATTCCATTTATAAAGCACCTTTCACGTCAGGAGGACGTCCCAAGGCGCTGCACAGTTGGGTCATGACCCGAGCAGGGGGGAAATGGTCAGGGTGAGGGGAGGGAAGGGAGGGAGCGAGGAGGGGGAAGAGAGTCGAGAGGGGAGCTGAAGGCACGGTCAAAGAGAAAGGTTTTGAGACCGGCCTTGAAGGAGGAGAGGGAGAAAGCAAGGCGAAGGCACTGGGGGATAGAGTTCCAGAGCCTAGGGGTTGAGAGGCTGAAGGCCTGACCACCGATGGTAGGGCGATTGGGGCGGGGGATGTGGAGCAGACCGGAGCCGGAGGAATTTTAGATATAAAAGTTGGGGCTAAACTGTGAACAGCACTCAGCGCCTTCACTTCAGTCTGATATATATAGTGTGCAGCCAGAGACCTAGTGTAAGAGGTATTAAAGCATTCATTCAACAACAGGGAACTGCTTTTGCACATATTAATATCACTTAATTCTGTGTATATCGCCTATCAACTGTGTTCAAGATAATAAGGGTCATTTATAATACAGTTGCCGTGCGCTGAAGTGACTCGTGGTGCTTGATGCCATTAATGTGTCTGCATAATTGCCTGGCATTGTGCTGCATTATTCTGTCAAAAGATACATAGGAACCTATAATTAACATTCAATTAAATGAAGAATTTGAGAATAAAGAAGTGGAACCAATTGTCTTTTCAGTATATCAGATATTACAATGTACTGGTTAAAACCAGGAGACCAGAGACTATCAGGTCAATATACCTCAGTGTTTCTTAGAGGTGGTTTGGTTTATATACGAAGGTACCTCAAATATGATCGAGCTCCGAGATATCCTGGGGTCACTGATCCTAGATTCCTCCTCCGTCTATTAAGGCAAAAATCCAAAGCACAGACTTTGAATGTAAGTGCACAGGGAGAACTCCCACAGGTGCATTTGTTTCAATTTGCAACAGGCCCGTGGCCTGAATTTCCACTTAGTCTTGACCCTCAAGATCATTTTGCCTCAAGATCATGCAGAACTGCAAACAAATCTTAATTTTGAAGCTGATTCTTTTTAAGCTAAGTGGAAAGCCAGCTACCAAATTGTGAATGAATTTGGTAATCAAATATTGTGTGATTTTAAATTTTATGACAAAATGGTCTGACAGGCAAAACAACGGGACCTGGTGTGCAATATCCACATTGGTGGCCTGTAGGGGGCAGGGTGAACCCAGGCCTAGCACATGACAGATAATATGAATAATATACGGCAATATACCCGCTTATATTACTGTTGTCTCGAGAAGGTGAAATGGACCCTCCCCTGGGAGTTAATTGCAGCCACCTCCAGAGAAAGCAGATTTAAACTGCATCAGAATTATACTATTGTAAAGCAGATTTATACTATATCATTAAAGGCAAAACTATTCTAAAAAATGGGTTAAGAACCTGTCTATTTATGTGAAGCTTATGGAATGCTGCATTGAAATTGCTTATCTTCCTGCAATGCATTAACTGAACTGAGCAATTTCAATGTGTCTCTTTTCCCTTTTTCAGCTGGAATGAACATGAGCCCTGTCTCCAGACTCAAGAAAACATGGGCAAAAATCAAAACTGCCAAGTTTGATATTCTGGAGGTAGGCAGGCACTTGTGCTTCAATATGTTGTGTCATCATCACAAACACTTCTCATTTGTATTATGAGCCAGCTATGTTTTAAGAGGATGTAAGCTTTTAAGAGGTTTAAGCTCATTGTGCACATTTGGGAATTGTAATAACAATTAACAATAGTCAATTAAAAAAAGAATATATTAGGTATAAACCATTAATGTGTCAGCCAGCTTCAATTGGTAGCACTCTTGCCCTTGAGTCAGAAGATTGTGGGTTCAAGCCCCATATTGAAACCCATAATGTCTAAGCTGACACTCCAATGCTGTGCTGGTGTGTGCTGCAATGTTGGAGGTGCAATCTTTCGGATGAGATGCTGAACCAAGGTCCTATCTGTGTGCTTTAAACTTGCCTTTAGCCAACTCCTGCCTATTCTCCATTTCCCACCTTGCTCCCATGGCATTATTGCAAAAGAGAAAAGAGGCCTGGCAAACAATCCTCCAGATAAAGAAGGTCATTCACTTCATGGCTGTTTATGGGATAATTGGCTGCCATGTTCACCTACAAAACACAAGGCCACTAAAACTTTGTAAAGCATTTTGAGGCGTTCTTAATGGTTTAGTTGCAAAATTAAATGCAAATGGAATTATTATTAAGATTATTTGCTACATTACTTTTTTTAGCATCAAATGGATCCTTCTAGCAACTTTTACAACTACAGGACAGCTCTACGAGGAGCAGCACAGAGGTCTCTGACAGCTCACAGTAACAGGGAAAAGGTAAGTGGGAGATAACCATAGCTGACAGCTTATAAATGTACCTTCAGCATTAGGATACATAGTTTCTGATAAGACCCGACTCTAAAAGAGTTAAACGATGTACTATGGAGTTCTGTATGCATTATATATCAGGAATGTCTAAAGTGTGATATTTGTGCAGGGTGAGTGAATAAATTCTCACTTCTTAAATCATTTATTTTCTGGAGGCATTGTGACAGCAAGTGCTGAGTAAAGAACTTTCTTTTTCCCCTCTGACCCAACCTACTTCCCAGTCTCGAGTGTATGACTACATGAATACATATTTCCTCAGCTTTCTTTTGACAATTTATTCACCTTGATCCAGTAGGAACATAACCTCTCTTTTTTGTGACTTTTAAGGTGTTTGCAAAAAAAATGATTATATCAACAGTAAGTCTGGAGAAATGTTCCATTTTTCCAAGTCTCCAAGATAACATTTGATCAGATGCAATTATAGACAAGCCTGCCAAATTAAAAAAGTCTCTTTTACCATTCCATTCATTTACTTTTACTACCTTTCTCTCCTGAAGACATTTGCCTTTCTTTTCTTCTACTGGGATTCAGAATGCAGTCTTTACAATATTTAGTCTACAGTAAATCCAGTGAAGCATTTTGAGATGTTCTCCAGACATGAAAAGCTCTATATAAATTTGCAAGAATTATTATTTTTAATAGTCAATACATTAAACATTTCAAAATGTAAAGCATGTCAGATCCCAATATTTATATGATGCATTGATTCCTCCCATTGATGTTTCTGAATACTGTCAATTTACATCTCAGGGTTACCAAAGCTTGAATGATTATAGAATGGAATTTGTAACCCTGGTTCACAATAGCTCCTCAACCTAAATTAATTGAAAAGGTATCTGCTAAATGTGGGTTAGGTTTGGTTACCAGCACTGCTTATCACATGTCCAAAACAAAGCTTTGAAGCTTAGAAGGAGATTAAACGGTGGTGACACAGTATTAAAAAACAAAGAAGAATAAGCTTGAAAAATGTGTTTGAACGTTTCTTAAAAGAAGTACAAGGAATGACCCATATCAATAACCTATTAGTTTTAGCATGCTGATTTTTAAAAGCTTTGGGAGTGCTGTCTGAATCCGTGTATATGAAGCAGATGTACAGTAATTGTAATAATAATAATCCTTGCATTTGATATAGCGCTTTTCACATCTTCTAGACGTCTCAAAGCACGTCACAAAATATGCTGTAAAGTGAATTGACTGTATATTTGTGGGCGAAACACAGCAGCCAATTGCGCACAGCAATGTCCCACAAACAATCATGGATTGAAAATGACCAATTTATTATTGTTTTTTGTTTTGGAGGGATTATTATTAGGCGTGTGGAGTAAGAAAACTTGCCCAAGGTTTTACCCTGCCTGGAATTGACCTAGCTGTCTTGCTTGCAAGGCGAGTGCTCTAACCACTGAGCTACATGAGTTGAGTATAATCCTGCAGGAATTTAGACACTAAATACTTTTTTCAAAAATTAATTCAAATATTGAATGCTGGCAGATACACTCTGTCACATTGTATGTGTTTTCATACACTGGAGTAATCCATTATTAGCCATTCACTTTGACCTGCCGCACCATCAGAGACACAATCACTGATGTACAATTAACTGAGGCGACCTGGGTTGAAAAGTTGCTTGAATGGTGAAAAAAACACAATATTATATCTACAAGAGTGGCAGAAAAGTGTCATGTTGGATAAAGTGAGTCATGACAGTGAACCCTATGTATCTCATGCCCGAACAAAAAGAGCTTTACTTCGAAACCATTTTGGGTCAGAGCCAAAGTTTTGGGGTTTCCTCCTTAAGACTCATGCTATTTGTACGAGCTTTCAGCTATTTGCCCTGCTTTCTGGATTTCTATCCCAGAGTCCATCAGACCCTGCCTATTTTTAAAGCTGGTCTTAAGACCAATGGACTGCTTTGACTGCACTTTTGGTCGTGCTATGAAAGTGTTTTGAGAGGTCCTCCCAACATGAAAGGTGCTATGTAAATTGTATTATATTGTATAATTCCACCTCAATTGTTCCAATCCCCTCCTTGTGAGTCTCCCCATCATCCACAAAATTCCAACTAATTCAGAACTCCGCTACCCATATATTCATCCGATCTAAACTCCATCCCAAAAACTCTGTCCCCAAACACAAACGCCATGGCTACCTGCTACAGAACAGATTGACTTCAACATCCTCATGCTCGTCTAAAAATCCCATCATTCTCTGGAACCTCGCTACTCTTTGACTTGCTTACTCCACACTCCACCACGTGCCACCTTTGCCCGACTACCTCTGGCCTCCTGCTCGTCCCTCATTGCCTCCACTCCCCCAAAGGGGATCTGTGCTTTTAGCCACTTCATCCCGAAACTTTGGAACTCTTTCCCTCAGTCCCTCCGCCTTGGCCCCTCCTTCCCCTTTCTCAGATCACACCTGAAGTCCTCTTCGACAATGCTCACGGCCATCTCCTCCCTCCCTCCCTCCCTCCCTCCCTACCTCTGGCTCGGTGTCAGACTCCACTACTGTTAAGCGCTGTGAGACTCTGCCCCGGGTGAAGGGCATTGTATAAATGCAAATTGTCATGTATTTTCAGAGCAGTTTTCTTGTTTGGATGCTTTACAACCTTCTTACTTCTTACCAAAAGCTCACAACTAACTGGCTTTCACTTCAATGTGTTTGTGTTTTTTTGTTTGGACAGATTGTCATTCCATTCTTCAGCCTGTTGATCAAGGACATTTACTTTTTAAACGAGGGCTGTGCAAACCGCCTTATGAATGGGCACATCAATTTTGAGGTGAGCAAAATTAATCTTTGTAAGCAAATGTTGTTGAACAGAGCTCAGAGGCAAAACATCATAAAATATGGAAGAATTCAACTTTTCTAGGGAATAAAGATAAATGGAATTTAATTTAGTTAAGAAACATTGAACTGGTCCATAAGTTATAGAATGTGTCAAGTAGCCTATAAAGACCGTAGTACAGGATCATAATGGTATTTAATATTAGAACATTAGATTGCATTTTTAAGCATTCTCAATAATTAAAATGCTGCGCAAAAGCCATTTTTAGACTTTTAACCTCATTTCAACATTATGTGTCAGTGTGAAATGAAAAGTGGCAAAGGAATTGTAGATGAGGTAAAGCTGAAAAAGCAATAAAATGATCTGATCTTTGGGTGCTGCACGGAGAGACAGAGGTACACTAATAGGTTGGGTGCACCTCAGCTTTTCATCAAATCAATGCAAAGTTGACAGTGGAATTCTTAATATGCATTTAAATAACAGATCTGAGATTGCTTCGTTTCAATGTAAAGGATATGAGACCAGCTCAAAAAAATAGTAGTTTTCAATAAAAACTTCCATTTATGTGGTGCCTCTAATTTAGGAGAACGTCTTAAAACATTTTACAAAAATGGAGTGGGAGTCCAAGCATGGTTTGTGGGGGGAGAGCAGTATCCATGTTCCTACTGTTTTAAGCTTTCAATTTAAGACTCCTGGACCACCATAATGTGTTAAATGAGGAGCCATCAGTCTTATTGCTTGACATTAGGAGAGTAATGAGTGTACATGTTACCAGGTAAGTGGCTTCCCTGGTATAATTGTGGTGCTGTCAGTGTTAAAAGCTAGGCACCACGAGCTGTAGTGCTTCTTGGGAAATAGTTTCGCTTTTCATTTCCAATAATCCTTATAAATTCCTGTTGACGTATGAGAACACCGCTCACCGATGGTCGTAGGTTGCTTGAGAGCTATGTTCTCACAGGGAGACATAATGTCGCAGATCGTGAATTCAGTTGAGTAGAGAAGGGAACTTGAGGTATACCACTCTGTGACTCCACATCTTGTTTTTCCACTGCAGAGAACACATTTGAAGCTCAGTGTAAAGTACATGCTTGTAGTGTTCAGTGCTGCCTCTCTAACCAATGCAGTATGTTCCCTTGGCCAGTGTCAATGCACTATTGTTTCCACCTACTGCCCAGATTGCAGAGTTCAGTGTTAAATGATACCAAGAAAAAATTCTGCTCGCCCTAAAATTGATATGAAAATCTGAAGCATGAGGTAATGTTTGATTCCTGACATATATTTCCTACAGAAATTCTGGGAACTGGCAAAGCAAGTGAGTGAGTTTATGACCTGGAGACAAGTTGAGTGCCCCTTTGAGCGTGATCGTAAAATCCTTCAGTACCTCCTCACAGCTCCGGTCTTCTCTGAAGATGGTAAGTCACCAAATGCAATGGGGGAAATGGATAGCAGTCTCAAGGTGGTGCAAAGCATCCATTCTAATGAAAAAATAGGAAGGCAGCAATTCCTCAATCAATCTTCCCAAATTTCTTTCAGCATGAGGTGTTAAGTACAATTTTTTTTGTAATGTTTTAAAAATGTATCCATTGCTTATAATAATAATAATCCTTGCATTTGATATTACGCTTTTCACGTCTTCTAGACGTCTCAAAGCGCTTTACAGAATATGCTGTAAAGTGAATTGACCGTATATTCGTGGGTGAAAAGCGGCAGCCAATTGCGCACAGCAATGTCCCACAAACAGTTGTGGATTGAAAATGACCAATTTATTATTGTTTTTTGTTTTTGGAGGGATTATTATCAGGCGTGTGGAGTAAGGAAACTTGCCCAAGGTTTCGCTCTACTTACACCAGTACCGCAATCTGTACATTTAAATGATAGACAAAAGATAGAATCAGTTCAATATTATATTCATATGTCAATTATATTCATATATCTTATAGCAGTAGCATTTGAATAAATTGATGATTTCAGTTACAATTTCAGTAATGCATGCCTCTTAGTATATCTGAGAACCCTAATGCACACCAGAATAGCTTACAATGCTTTATCGGGTTTTAGGAGAATTTTGTAAGTGTCTTCCTCTTATTAAATCTAAAATGGGCCTCCAGGGCTTATCAGTGTCTAGTAATTCTGCTCCATCTTCTCAGAAACTCAAATATTCCCTTGGAAAGTTACCAGGTTTGTTAAAGTGACTTTCCCTCATTAGCCTCTGTGTTTCTTTTGATATTAAGTGCGCCCGAACAATCTGTGGATCTGTAACGACAAGAGGTCTTCTGACCCTAATTTACTGGGTTTCCTCTTGTTAGAATATTAAAAGGCTACACTGGAAACTGGGCTGAAATTCCAGTGTTTCATTACACCTCCCTTCATAGAAAGAAGAATACCTTCTGTTTTTATGAAACGCCACACGTTTCGCTCTATAATCTTTCAGAATAACAGAAATTGACAAATGGTAACCCACAAAATGTATTATTTGTAACGTCAAATTTGATCAAGAAAATCTTATCACAATTAGATAGAGGATTGCTTTTTATAGCAACATGAGCTTCCAAATGTAGCCCTTTTAAAAGAGCAGACCACAAGGCAATTATTTCCCTATGAAATACTTAAGTGTTATTTTCGATGATGGGATTGGTCTGTTTGTGGTTTACAAACCAATTGGAGATTTTTCTTTTTTATTTCCCAACAAGTGCTATTGCCGTCTTTCTTTCAGAGCCCGAGCTTAGTACTGCAGAAAATCTACTCCTTTAAAATGGATGTTCCTCATTGGAGCAATTGTTAAAAATACATCAATGCAGGTGAAACTAATTGCGTAGGATTTATTGTTTGGACAAAGTGCAATTTATATCTTGTATCTTCAAAAAAAACTTTAATTCCTCTTTAAATAAAACTATTGGAATAAAAATTCAAAATAAATTGGATCAGATGAAATAGAAGCATTTACCTATCATATATAATAATAATAATAATAATAATCCTTGCATTTGATATAGCGCTTTTCACGTCGGGAGGACGTCCCAAAGCGCTTCACAGAATATACTGTAAAGTGAGTTGACTGTATATTTGTGGGCGAACGCGGCAGCCAATTGCGCACAGCAATGTCCCACAAACAGTCATAGATTGAAAATGACCAATTTAATTATTGGTTTTGGAGGGATTATTATTAGGCGTGTGGAGTAAGGAAACTTGCCCAAGGTTTCGCCCTGCCTGGAATTGAACTCAGGTCTCTCGCTTGCAAAGCGAGTGCTCTAACCACTGAGCTACAGGACTCCACATATATATTCTTATCTGCTGAATATATGAAGAAAATACTTAAGTTATGGTTTCATTTCTGAGACGGTGAATTGACTTACCTCTGTGCCCTGACAATCACTAGCATTTACATGTATGCTCACAGAACAGGCTGATTGTTGTCTAAGTAATTAAACATTCACTATATCCTTTAGTTCTGAGAAAATCGTTTCCAACCCTTCTTGTCCAATTTATGTCCTTTTTGTAATGTCTATTGTAGCGCCCATTGGCTACCCAAGCTGAGATCTCCTAACTCAGCACAGAACAGGGTTCAAATCTCTGACTTTGATGACAGTACATCACAATTGATAATTGAGCCTTGACAGTGTGGCGTCTCAGATATCTGCTAAATATGTCAGCCTGGCACTCTTGCTTCTGAGTCTGAAGATTCACTTCAGACTCAGATTCACTTCAGACGAAGTATCAGCTTAAACTACATGTGTCTGGAGCTCATGTAGTTTAAGCTGATACTCCAATGCATTGCTGGGAGTGTGCTGCATTGTTGGAGGTACTGTCCTTCAGATAAGATATTAAACTGAAGCCCTGTCTGCCTGTTCAGGTGGACATTAAAGATTCCATGGCACTGTTCAAAAAGAGAAGGGACTTTCTCCTGGTGTCCTGGCCGATGAACCCCCAAATAAAATTGACTCTTTGTGGGATATTGCTGTGTGCAAATTGGCTGCTGTATTGGCTCACAAAACACACAGATGCTGCACTTTACAGTTCACCTTGTGAAGTGCTTTGGGACTCCTGACATGAAAGGCGCTATGCCAAATGTAAGGATTATTATTATTATTATTAACTCAGCACAGACCATGATTCAAATCTATGAGTTTCCAGTTTATATTGGTCTAATGTTACATGCCTTTACCCATAAGCAGTTAACCTTTATGTTCCCAAACTGTTTTTATTTAGTTACTGTAGTTCTCCAGAAATAAGCTGAGAAGTATTCATAAATGTATCTTTAAGTCTATTTTGCAATAAAAGATTTTAGTTTCATACAAATTATTTACATATTTGGGTTCCCAACATCAATTACTTTTAATGAGCAATATATTTCATTGCGTCATGAAATGCTTTCCTGATCTTCAAATGTTAAAACCTAACTTCCGTTTGCAATAAATAAAAAACTATAAAGAACTAAATTACACTGAATATGAATCGATTGGATGAAGAGGGACAGTAACACTGTTTTAACATTGCTTTAAATCTATCCATATTTTCCTGGGGTTAATTTGGGGTGATTATTGATAGGAGAACTTTATTAAAATAGTTGAATTGTACATTTAATGCACAATGCTGTTACAGATATATGTCTTTACACTGCTTCTCCTCAGCACTTTACTTGGCTTCCTATGAGAGCGAAGGACCTGAGAACCATATTGAAAAGGAGAGATGGAAGACTCTAAGGTAGCTGAATATACAAAAAGCATATCTTTGAAAATTATAAAACTTGCTGATAATATGTGACTCATTGATTAATCTACACCAATAGTGGCCATCCTTTGTGGTCTACCAACAAAACAAATTTGAATTGATTGAATATTTCTTGATTTATGCCAATTCCAGCCTGTGAGCCATGGGCTGGCCACCACTGGTCTAGAGAAGTAAACAGCCTGTAAAAAGACATTGTCACTCTATATGGGCAGAATTGGTTAGAGATGGGACTGGGTAGCTACTGACAATCTAAGGCTCAATCATAGCAACAGGTGCCTCACTAAAATCTGAGTTTGGAAAAAGGCCTCTCAGGGCTCAGGACCATTAAATCACTTTTTTATTGACAAAACAGAAACTCAAGAATTTTCAAGAATTGCTCTTGGGGGAGGTGTCCGGGTCTATTTTGTCGGTGAAATTCAGAAGGAAGCTGACTTTTACCCTAATAGCCTCCCTATCCCCAGTAAATTTGGGAATTTGTTTTGGAACATCTGCTTAACTCGTACCTTGGTGCATTGGGGACCTAATTGCATTTGAGGTCTTTGAATACACTTGAAAGCTGGTTCCAGCCTACCTGGTTGTGAAGCCTGTAACAGGAATACATTCTAAAGCCACTTCCAGTATTGAGGAAACATTACATTATATTAGTTTCAGGATGAGTTTGCACAATCATAGAGACAGCAATTTGGGAGGGGGGCAAACTTGTATTTCATAATTTAAATTTGGGGTGAAAATTATTTTATCGCTTTTCTTTCACTGAAAATAGCTGTATTAATGGGTGAAAAACATTTTTTTTTAAAAATGAAATAATGGTCCTTATTCATGGGATACTATCATAATCCAGATTGAATTAGGCCAGAATCCTCTGAATGTGCTCAGAAAGGCTGTGCTCAGCCCTCGAAAATGGACCCTGTTAAACTGGAATAAAAGATGTTGGCATCCAAGCTTTTCAGCCATGGTTGGTCTATGTCATTATTTAGAAGTCAGTGGGGGCTGGGGAGAGAGAGAGGATAGAGTATTTTATTGTTCATTTTAATGACTTTAAAACATGACATTTAAAAATATAAAAAACTGGTCAACTCTCCGAACCTACCTTATTTTACTAATTATTTTATAGTGATGCGTCACCTAAGAGGTTTGGAACAATTTCCTGGTTACTCACTTAATTTGCGAGCCATTAATTTTTGTCACAGGTCTTAAAATTGCTTGTACTTTCTTTGTTCTCGTATGCCTGTTGTTGACTGTTGCATTGCACACTCAACAGTACATGTATTTAATTTTTTCTCCCAGGTCAACACTCCTAAGTAGGGTTTAGCGTGGATGTGTACCACTGTGAAAATGGCTCCAGATGTGACATGTTTTGCACTAACTGGCCTTTGAGAAATGGGATAGTGCAGCAGGTTCGGACTCCCATGTTAAGCACCAAAGAAGATGGATCTCAGTGAGAGCAAAACAGACATTGGAGGACCATGTTTCATCGACTCCAGAGCAAATTGAAGTGTGTACTTTATATTGTCCAGCTTGATCTTAGCTAATTTGAATCTAAGAATATGGTTCTCCATCTTGGTGTTAGCTATCAAGTTGGCGGATTGAACCCTAGGGTTTGCAGTTGACTATTTGCTGCTGTTTCAGACGACACCTCAGAACTATCTGTTGAGCATGCACCTGGCCTGCTCTTTCTTTTTTAAAATAAAACGTGAACCCTGAGTTTGCTGCTGGTTAGCCAACTCATTGCTATTGTAATGAAGTTGACGACAATGGTCACACATAAGTAGTGTTGGAATGCAAATAGATTTGTTTAAATGTGGGTAGATAGCCAAAAACCCATGACCAAACTGTTTACATAGAAACACGTTGTAAATAGCCCTTGATTCAGTGTTAGTCTCTTCTGTTCAAGTCTTTGTTGAGTTTTAGATAACAAAAATGGTAGAATGCATTTTATTTGTGTATTGGGGGGTGGGGGGGCGGGGCGTGTGTGTGTAGGATTTAAAAGAGCATTTTTGGCGACTTTCACACATTATCACAGAGGCAAAAATAGAGCTACTTTGCAAGCAGCAGCAATGTTTGTAGTGGCTCTGCAGGATCCGCACAGGATCAATTTGACAAGACTGTAAATAATAAGTCAAGCGCCCAACAATTTTTTAATCATCAGTGAGTCACATCAAAATTCTGACTTATGCAAAACCTTATTTTCTTAGATGTCTCTTGACTTGTCTTCAGTAGCTCTGAGCACTTAAACAAAAATGTTTTAAGATGGGTCACATAGAAATCACAAAACTATAAAAGGTAATGAGCATGGTGCAGAAAGTCTGCAATGACAGTGATTCACTGGCTAAGTGCTGCATATGCTTTTGTCAGACCGAGACTTTGATGGGTGGCTGGTTAGTTCTGCCATTATCTTTTTGTACCATTTCTTTAAATAAGACCAGTCATTGTATTGTGGTTAACTTATCTTATGTATATAATTTATACTTTTATGTGCACATTGTAATGCATTTTATCAGTCGAGATTGATTAGAAGTGTATTTTTTAATTTATGTGGTTTTCAAATGAGGACTTTGTAAATACTGAAGACTTGCTCCTTATGTCACCAAGTGTATAAATTAAGTTACTGTATTTTATACTGAAGTTGTGGCATAACTTAATCTACAGATTACTAAAGCAATAGAGGATGATAATTGGCAGCCCTTTAGTCTTGCATTGGCTGTTTTATCCATTTGATGCAGCAAAGCAAAGTGATATTTTGCACCCCAACATTTCTCAAATGCAATTCTGGATTGAAGGGATCAAGGGCACCACAATTTTACACACACACACACACACACACAAAGTTCTGAGGCTTTTTTTGGACACCAGCCTCAATCAGGTTGGTAAGTTTGTTTAAAAAAAAATGTGCTGCAAGCAAACAGTGTGCAGCTCTGTGGAGCATTGTACCACTCATGATAATAATAATAATAATAATCCTTGCATTTGATATAGTGCTTTTCACGTAGGGAGGACGTCCCAAAGCACTTCACAGAACACACTGTAAAGTGAATTGACTGTATATTTGTGGGCAACGCGGCAGCCAATTGCGCACAGCAATGTCCCACAAACAGTCGTAGATTGAAAATGACCAATTTATTATTGTTTTCGGTTTTGGGGGGATTATTATTAGGTGTGTGGAGTGAGGAAACTTGCCCAAGGTTTCGCCCTGCCTGGAATTGAACTCAGGTCTCTCGCTTGCAAAGCGAGTGCTCTAACCACTGAGCTACAGGACTCCCAATGATGCCCATTTATGATGGGCATAAATTAAAAGAGATATTAGTGCCACATTAATGTGGCCACTGACACACACTGACTCAGTACAAAGCAAGTGTTTTGCAGCAAATGGGGTTGCGGGGGGTGGGTGGTCGCTAGATTTTTACATGTTAAAATCTGAACACAGTTATAAGCAAATGCATTTTTTGCGACAATCCACACTAAGCAGCGTTAAAGCCAATAAATGCTAAAACAATTGCTAAAATAATTGCTTATCCAATTGACACCAGGCAATAAACTATTTCCAACAACTGTACACCGGTACTTAAGTTAAGATGTTTGTATTTGATTTCATTCTCACTTTGTTCATTGCCTGCATCAGATGTCTTCATATTGCAGATTTTGTGATAATCTGGCAAACGTACATCACAGAAAATGTTGAAGATTTACATAATATAATCGTTTTGTATAAAATACGATAATGTGAGTTTGAGGATTTTTCATTGAGATCACATTCTAATTGCTGGAACCATTTTTCCCTTAAAAATGTGCTGGATCATACATTGATCAGCTTCCACACTGCTGAATGAACTTAGATTCTAGACAATACACTGTGAGACCCATAATATTATTAACTCTTTTCCTAAGTGACTTTAACTTTCTGATTGCTGGAACGTTAAAAAAAGACATATCTTTCAGGCCTGCAAATGTGTTTCATATCCCAATTAATCAGCTCTCATGAGTATTACAGTGTCTTCAGCCCGAATTCAAACACACCAATGTTTTGCCTGGGTGTCCCGCTGGGCCAAAGTAACTTGCTGCAGATCCAAACACTGAATTCCTGTGATCGATCGAGTTTCTGGAAATCTATCATATTCATATAATAGAATTTCATATATGCTCTAGATATCTTCCGACTACAGCAGAACAGCAAGTTAGATATTTCCCAAATCACCCCTCACCACAATCATGCGGGTGAGGCTTGGCAGGAATGAGCTGCTACAGCGAAGGCAAAGATCTAAGATCAAATGTTGCAACTTGAAAGTAAAATGGAATTGGAGGTTACATTTGTCAAATATAGTATTAATAATCCTTGCATTTGATGTAGCGCCTTCTCACATTTTTGAGACGTCTCAAAGCGCTTCACAGGATATATTGTAAAATGAATTGACTATATTTTGTGAGCAAAACTTGGTGCTCAAGTGAAAAGGCACTCTCTATCCTCTAAAATCAAAGGACGCATTATTTCCATCAGCATTGTGTACAACACCAGATATTTCAAGCGTTCTGAGATGCTACCCCTCACGATGGACACTATTATCAATGCAAGCTGTTGTTTCTACAAAGTCAATACCACTTGCCTTTGGGGTGGGAATGTGATTGTATTCGATAAGGTGCAGAGGAGGGGGAGCAATGAGTAATAGGCACAATGTAGACGGGTATAATGTCTAATCCAAGCTGCTTAGTGGAGTGGAAATATGTCAAATGTTCCCTAAACAACTCGCCGAGATGTGTCAACAAGTAGATCCTGTTATAAATGTTTTGCTCCACAAATACCAAAATATAAATAGCTAAATGCTGACAAAACTAGCTCCTTAACACTCAAACCCCCAAAATCCATACCCTTAGTGTTGGGTTACGATAGAGTTTAAAGGGTTTAAAGTGATGCTTTGAATGAGCTTTTCTATTTAATCTCTGACTGATTTCTCACTGACAATTGACTGTAGCAGCTGGTATCTTGCTCTCCTCAAAATGACCCGTGACCAGGTGATGTGGTTCTGCAAAACAAAACATGGGTTTGGTGACAGAGAGGCCACAATTGGGGTGTGACGTATGCACAGGGCAGCACCTGGCAGAACCTACAAAGGGTGAGAAATCCTTTTAGTTTCTGAACGTTCAGACCCCAAAGTTGGAAAAGGAAACTAATTTAGTGGTTTACCTCTGAGAATTTCAGTATTGTCATTTCCATCCCAGCTGTTGACTAGACTTGATCTCACATTGACATTTCTTTCATATTGCTTCATTATCTGCTGCACTTTTGCTTTCAGAGTTCCTCAGCACATCTAGGAGCTTTCAGTAAAAGTGAATCACTTTAGCCTATATCTTGTATAACTGTTCTGACTATGCAGACGTTTCTACTGTTACAAAAATGCCCATGGTCTGCTCACAGAAATGTTGAATATGGAGAGATCAGTAGATGTGTCTAAATGACACCTTGTGCAAAAACATATGAATTAAAAATGTCAGTAGACTTTTACTCAATCATTATATGCTTCATGTCTTTTCTTCCAACAAAACACTATGACAGATATTGTGGGAAAAATAAGATAACAGTTCGATCACAGAACCGCAGTAATTTACCGCACAGAAGCAGGTCATCATGTCAGTGTTGGCTCTTTGAAAGAGCAAATTGTTTAATCCCATTTACCTGTTTTTTTCGCCTTATCACTTTAGATTTTTCCTTTTTAGATATCTATCTCATTCACTCTTTAAAGCTAAAATATATCCTGCCTTGACACCACGCCCTGCGGTCCATTCCACATTCTAACACCTCTGTGTAAAATAAATCCTAATCTCCCCTCTGCTACCTTGCTAACTGTCTTAATTTTGATCCCCACAAGTCACTGACTCATGAACCGGTGCAACTACCTACAATTTCTCATTGGGAATAGCCAGTGAACTGACTATAAACTGGTGGATAGTTCTGATTCCCGATCACGCCATTGACACTGACCTCTGTGAGTAGCAATGAACTCGTTCCACATATTCTTTCTAGTGCGTTTATGTGACTGAACGTTCATTGAGAAGGTTTCCATCCATAAGAGGGATTATTAAATCACTTACAATACATGTTGTACGGCCCACCCATGTCAGGTTCTTGTACTAACAGAGAGCTGCGTCAAAGTGATTTACATTTTCCCAGGTTGCTCTGCTTTTTCTCTCCTTCCCTGAATGTCATGACTCGAGAATACACTTCTGCAAGCACTAGCCAACCTTCAGCTGGCTCACCCAGGTGAATATTCTTCATATGATTCCAAATGGTGAGCCCCTGTTGGCAACACAGCTGGTGATTGGAGAGAAGGAGGCTTTACAGCCAATTCCCAGTCCTGTCCTCACTCAACATCAACACAGTGTGTCCTTTTTGAGCAGACTGGTGGGGGTAGGGAATCATTGGGTAGGAGTGAGAATGCTAACCTATTTTTTTCCTCTCAAATCTAATAATAGAGGCACGTTACAATGTGACACAGGCACATATGGAAGCACACACT